AAGTGCAGCATTAGGTTGTTTATTTGTGTTTGTTCCATTTTCCTGATGTGGGAATTTAGTGCTATAAATTTGCCTATGAGGACTGCTTTCATTGTGTCCCACAGGGTCCAGTAATTTGTATTTGCATTTTCATTCAATTGTAAATATTGTTTAATTTCTTCTCTAATTTCTTCTGTAACCCAATGGTTGTTTTAGGAGAGTATAATTTAATTCCCATCTGTTTATGGGATTCTTATAGGGTTTTATATCATTCATTTCCAATTTTATTGTGCTATGGTCAGATAATATGCATAGGATTATTTCAGTTCATTTGCATTTACTTAATCAAGTTCTGTTGGCTAGTATATGATCTACTTTAGAGAATAACCTATGTGAAGCTAAGAAGAATGTGTATTCTGATGTTGTTGGTTGAAACACTTGGTACACATCTACTAGGTCCATTTGTTCACAAGTTTGATTCAGTTCTGTTGTATCTTTGCTGATTTTTTGTTTGGTTGATCTGTCTCTTTCTGACAATGGGGTGTTAAGATCCCCCATTATAACTGTACTATTGTTTTTTTTTTCTTGTTTATTAAGATTTACATAGTCTTACATAGTTGAGTGCCTCATATTTGGTGCATATATATATTTATGATGGTTATTTCTTCCTCTTTTTCCCTAACAACTATGTAGTGACCTTCTTTATCTCTTTTGATCATTCTTGGTTTGAAGTTCACATTGTCTACAAACAGAATAGCTGCTCCTGCTTTTTTCTGGCTTCCTGTTGCATGAAGTATTGTTTTCCATCCTTCAACTTTTAGTGTATGAATTTCCTTTTGAGTTAAATGTGTCTCTTATACACAGTGTATTATTGGATTTTGTTCTTAATTCACTCTGCCAGTCTGTTTCTTTTTATTGGTGTGCTTAGACTATTTACATTGATGGATATAACTGATATGTACTGACTTATCCTTGTCATGTTATCTTTCTGTTGTTAGCTTTCTATTTTTTCTGTTTAATCGTTTACCCTGCTGAGTAGTTTCCTTCTGCTACTGTTCTTAGGATTTATAGTTATCTTTGTGTCTTTCTAGAGTGTCTTTCAGTACTCTTTGTAGTGTTGGTTTGATGGTCATGAATTTCTTTAGTTGTGCTTTATTGTGGAAGTATCTTATTTTTCTATCAATTTTCAAAGATAGTTTTGCAAGGCACATCAATCTGGGTTGAAAGCTGTTTTCTTTCAGGACCTGAAATACTTCACTCGAAGCTCTTCTTGACTTGAACATTTATGTTGAGAAGTCTGCCATGATTCTGATAGGCTTTCCTTCATAGGTGATCTGTTTCTTTTCTCTGACGGCTTTTAGTATTCTGTTCTTGTGCTGAATTTCCAATACCTTAATTATTATATGTGTGGGTAATATATAATTATTTTTTTGATCATGGTTAACTGGGGTTCTGTGTGCATCACTTATCTGTATACCAGATTCTCTTCCCATGTTTGGAAAAGTTTCTGCTATTATTTTGTAAATGGTCTTCATATGTCATATGTGTTGACCCTTGCTTTTTCAATGACACCTATCAATCTTAAATTGTTGCTATTTGCAGCAGTTGAATTGTTATTTCCTGGTTCCTTGTTATTTTTAAGAAATCTTTTCCTTCATGATCATAAGCTTTCATCCTTTGTTCAAGGTCTAACAGTCTATCCTCAGCTTCATTCCAGCGATTTTGCCAGCTTTCAATTGAATTTTTAATTTCCTGAATATCCCTTTGAATCTGTTTCATGCACTCTAATTCTGTCTTATATTGTTCATTCAAGGTTTCCATCATTTTCTTATGTTCTTCTATTTTTTTAAATCTAGATCTTCTTTAGATACACACAGCATTTCTCTCATAATGTCTATAATTTCTTTTTTTTTTTACCTGAAAGATAATTTCTGATCTGATTTCCTCTATGACTTCATGGAGTTGTTTCTTTACTTCAGTTGCTATCATTTCAGAAAGTTCAGTTGTGTGATTTCCAGAGTCTTCCATTTCGCCATCTCTTGGGTTTGTTCTCAATGGGCTGAAGGACTGAGTCTGCGTCTTACTGTTTCATTTTGTTTTTTTTCCTCTCAGACCCTTGCAGCTGGCCAGGCACCCTCCCAGTGGATTGCACTGGAATGCTGCACTGGGCAGAGCTCTTATCCTCTAATATCCCTGGGCCTCGCCAAGGTATAGTACCCCCAAACTATAGCACTGGAGCCTTGTGTTCTGTGAGGTTGGCCAGAGCTTGGATACTCCATGCATCTAGTAGGGCCATGCCTCCAAAGTGTGGTTCCAGGGCCTTGCATCTGGGAATTCAGAGCCTCTAAACCAAGCAGCTAGCCTGAGTGCACCTCTGGAATATGTTGCTGGTACCTTGCTCCTATAATTCTCCTTCAGTGAATAGTTCTTCTCTTTTTCTGTTCTCAGAACATGATTAAATAAAACCTTCCTATAAAACCATTTGTTGGAAAGCAAAAGTAGAGGTGGTCTGAGGGTAAAGGCAGGCTAAGTGAGGAGTGGAAATGCTCAGTATCATTGATTCAAGCCCTTTGCTGATTTATTGGCTGAGTAGGATTTTTGTTTGTTTCTTCCTCTATCAATGTGGTAAGTTTATATTTCTATATAAATTTGCCAATTTTCCCTAAATTTTCAAAATTTATTGGCAGAAAACTGATTATAATATTTTCTTAGTTTTATGAAAAACTAAAACTGACTCTTAATTTTGTCTCCTGATATTTGATGTGTTTGTACTCTATATATATACTTGCCCATTTTCCCTGTGGGTCCTGCCAATGTCTGAAGCAATATTAATATATCTACTGTAGTTTTACTTTGATAGTATTTGGTTTGGGTTCCTTTTTCCATTCATTTATGTGGGATCTTTGGTTTTGGCTATATTTTAGCAACATAAGCTGGATTTTTAAACCCTTCAGATATAGTTCAGTTTGTTTGAAGTAGGTTAATTCTATGTGCATTTATTAAAATTTTTATCTGTTTTAGACTTATTACCATTATAATTCATGCAGTCTTTGTACTTGTATTTTTCTTCCTTTTAAACTTAAGCTTTTCCACTGAATATCCCACAGCTCAGAAGTTAAATGTTCTATTTCTATGCTTTTTAGTCCTTACAGCTAATTGTTGGCCTCCATAGATAACAAAGCCTAATGATAATCAAAATCTGTCCTGCTCCTAAATCCAAAATACTGAGCATGATTTCCATAGCTCTCTGCCATTACCTTCCACGTAATTATTGAATAATTTAATTCTATCATAGTTGCAAACTTGCCCAGATTATTAATTTTTACAGTCAACATTTATTTAGATTTTCAGTAGCTTTATAAGTTTCCTTGTTCTTCATTGTTCTCTACACCCTCTTTCATTACTTGTTCAGAGTCTTTTGGCCAAAATACATCATCCTAGTGCATTTCAGCCAAGACGCACACATAATAAATGCATGTGCTTACACTGCACGCACATCTTTGCTTCTCCCTCACTCTTGGATGGCAATTCAGCTGGAACAGAAATTTATATTGATAGCTTCTCTTTTGCAGTGTGTTTGAGAAAAGTGTTTCCTGCTAACGAGTAGTCTACTGCCAGTCTGCTTTCCACCCTTAGTAGATAAAGTATCTTTTCTCTCACATAGCTTTTGCAATCTGAGCTGTATTAATTTATTACAAGCTATATGTGTGGATTTACTATTTTCCACTATTGAAGCTGCATCAATAGGGAAATTCTGTTCTTTTCAATTTTTGAGAAGCTTTGGCTATTGTCACTTGGACACTGAGCCCTTTCACTGTTTGCTCTTGTCTCTCGGCGCCCTGGCACAGGCACACTGGGCTTCTATAGTCCACACCCCACCTTCACCTCTCTTTTAATATTTCCTGTCCTTTAATTTTTCTCTGCTGCCACTCTGACTGATTTCCTCAGATTAAATTAATTTAGTAGTTCTTTCTGGTGCTGTGTTTGGTCTTCATTCCAGCCTCCGTAGTAATTTCATTTCAAGAACTAAATTTATGCTTTTCAAGATTCCTTTTTTCCGTCCCTTAGCCTACAAGTTCTTTCTTGACAGTCTCTTGTTTTTACCTCATAGTATTTATTACTCCCTGCATTTCACTGAACACTAAAACACATTTATTTTAAATTCACTTTCACATTACTCTATTATTCAGTTTCCCTACGAGCTGCCCTCTGACCATGCCTTGATGCCTCCTCATCTCCTTTTGCATAGTTTAGGTCTTAACTCTAAGCTGGGTTTAAGATAGGAACTGTTTCCTTTGAAAACCTAGAGGAAGCATCTTTATGAAATTATTTCAGATTTACCTTAAAAGGAAGATTTGAACTTCAAGTGCCAGCTTGGGCTTTCCATCTCTGGAATACACAGATCAAATGAACTTGGACCCCACTTTTGCACTTGATGCTGGGCTTTGAGGTGCATTTCTTGTTGCTGACCCTCTGCTGGCCACAGTCACAGAAAATAAGCCCTGTCCTGTTCACCCTGGGAGAAGGAGCAGGGATTTTCTGAGCGTGTCTTACAGCTAGAGCAGCACTGCTTAACTCTGGACTCCATGCCGATCTCTCAGTTATAGCCTCGCCTTCAGAGGAGGCCCTGACTCTGACACACTTCCTGACTCTGACACTAAATCCCATGAGGTCATTACACTTTGCCTTAGCTGGCCTCAGTTTCCCCTGCAGACCCTTAGCAGCCTCCACTTGCTTCTCTTTGTTGTAGGTTTCTTTGTTATGTCTGGAACCAGAGGGTTTTACTGTACTGATTTCTCCATGAGCTATGTAAGCGTCACACGATATTTGCACTGTTCTGGCTCACCTGGGAAGCCCGTGTGTCTAGGGGAGCGGGAGGTATGCCTTCCACATCTGCTTAGGAGACCATATGGGCCAAGCGTACGTTACTGCTTTAAGGAGGAAAAAAATACAAAGAACTTTAAAGTGTGCTTAAAGAAATGTTTTACTTTAAGTAACCTTTTTCTCTCCATGATTCTCAGTGCTGAATTTGAAGAACCACATAATTATGAGGCAACAATTTCATATCTGAGACACTCTGGCAACTCCATTAACCTGTGCACTGCAGAAGAAATTGCTGATTGTAAGTCTGCTAAGCCAATTAAAATTGTAGCCTTGCGTAGAATAAAAATGTGTCCAAAATGGTATTTTTCCCTCCAGCTAACCATAAGTTTATAAAAGTCACAGTCATTCTGTTATACCATCTCATTTCTATTTTTTCCTATGTCTAGTGTCTTAGAAATATAAATAAGCTGGGCATCAATGCTATTCATGACTCCTCTTCCTACCGTTTCCACTCTTTATTTTCTCTGTACCCATCAACTGGGCTGCTTTGCCTTTTGTAGATACATAGAAGGAAAAAAATCAAGATATGGTGATTCATTTTTCTTCTTTCTCCTCCCATAGAAACTTCATCTCCTTTCCCCTGGTATTTTTCTTGAAGTCCCTGGTTCCTCAGTGTGTGACAAGGGAGATAACAGACCACAATAATTAGATGCCTGTGTCCAATCTGGATAGTAGCCGGGAGTTTAATGGGCCCGAGTGCCAGCTTGGAGTTTACCCTTCTTGCCTCTGGTATTGATGGCAGTGCGTGGGCCTCTTTGTGAAAAAGGAAACTCCCTCAGGTAAAAAGATGAATCAGGGACCAAGAACATCTCTGCGGGTTTCAGGGTCTTTGTTCTGCCCATGAAGCACCAGTTCTCTGGCAAGTCCATGAACATTAGAGCTGTAATAAACACATGTGTTGGTTGAGCCTGAACTCTGGAGTGGGCTCTGCATCAGGTCCTGGGTACTTCTTCCTACTAGTAGAGCAGTTTTATTACTCTGCAGTCAGGCAGGAAACTGAGGACTGGGAGGTTCAGAAGTCATACAAATATACATGGTCCTCATTTAATGACCTAGTCCTGTTCCTACAGCTAGATCATTAAATGAATTGGTTGCTAAATGGAGAAATGTGCCAAGGATTTAGCTCAGTGGCATAAGCACCTGCCTGGTGAGCATGACGTCACGAGTTTGATCCCTACTACCAAAAAAAAAAAAAAAAAAAAAAAAAACCTACATGGAGAAATGTATATAGTATGTGCATTATAATACTCCAAACAAATGGTCAAAGGAAACTCTAACTTGCCAAGTTTACTTTTATGTTCAGAACTCTTCCATGCAGTACTGTGATGCATAGCAGAACATAAAACTACAGTACTATACTATGATCAGCAAAAGTTACAGTACGTACTAAAGAAGCCCCCATGAGGCCACATTGCTGCTGGCCTTTTTGCCTTGTAAGTTTCATCAGGGTGTCAGTCCAGTCATCAGACAGAGAGTCCTTAAGAGAGGAAGGTCTGTAAGATGTGGCAGAGCAGTAAGTGAAACAGGCTTTATCTGCCTCCAAAGTCCATCGTTTTCCCACAGTTTTGTGCTGCTTTTCACCCAGGGAAGTGGTGTAGAAGGAAGGTTAAAGAGAGGGCATCCAGTCTAGCTGTTATTACAAGAAGCTCACAGTTCTAGGAAAGGAAGTCATCCTCCTAGGAATACACACTTAAGCAGTTCCTCAGTTCAGAATGAGGACCATCGTTCCTGTAAAACTATAGATTGATTATCAGTGCATTTGAGGTTATTCAGAAAGGTCAGGTAGATTCTGGCTCTCTGCTCTGTCTTTTCTCCTGCCAACGTGAAACAAAAAATAAACGTATATGGTAAATAAAAAAGAAAGTTTATTGAAATTTCTAGCTCCTAGCCCAGCAAATAAGTCGGAGAATTACTAGAAAATTTCATCTCTCCTGGACAGGGTAAAGACTAGATTCTTTCATATGGTTTATAAAATAGTAGCTATAAGTAAAGTGACCCCAGTCCTTAACAAAGCAATGATGCCCAGGGATAGGGTACCTGATCCCAGCTTTTGAGCAGGGCTTTTTACATTTTTAACATTCACACAGGTATCCTGGGGATCCTGTCAGAATATCGATTCTGGTTCAGTGGCTTTGGCGTATGGCTGGGAGTCCAGACTTCTAGCAGATACTGTGGGTCTATAGAACACCTACCTGGACATGAACACTGTGTCCCATTGGGCCAGAGTCTAACTGCTACCTTTCTTCAAGGTACAGGCTCCCAGGGCCAAGGGGGTGCTTGGTCACAGCTTGCATCCTCCTCTCTGAGACTTGTAAGACACCCCAGGCCCAGAATCCTATGGAGGGCATTCCAAAATCTCCCTAAATTCTTCCAATGCCTGACTGGGCCTCAGGGAAAGCTCTTGTGGGGTTGGGGGGGGGGTGGCAGTGAGGATGGGGTTTCCCGTGAAGCAAGGGGAAACAGGGTCAAATGTGGGAAGCTGGACCTGAATTATTCTCTCCAAGTCACAAGTTCTAAAAAGTGGGTATTCCAGGGGCACCATTTTGGATACCCAAATAAGGAATCCTTAACCCAGGCCACTGCTTAGTCTTTCCTTGAAGGATCCTTGTACTTAAAAGACAGTGCTGCTGAAGAGGTGACTCTGCGGTATGTCCCGCCCTTTCCCTGCCTTTCTCCACAGGCCCAAGAGGAAGCTCCCTACAGGAAAATAAAGGACACAGGCTGCTCCCAGCTGTTCTAGAAGAACAAAAATTTGAAGGGGCTTAATGGCCACTAAGCCTGCCTTATAAGAAATACTCATGGGAGTTCTTCAAGATGAAAAAAAATAATACTAATTAGTACCATTGAAACACAGAAAAGCATAAAACCCACTGGCAAAAGTAAGCACAGCTAATTCAGAATCCTCTAATACTGTAACTATAGGGTATAAATCACTTTTATTGTTAATGTGGAGATTAATATGATATAGGAGAAAATAAAACTCTCAACTTGTTAGATGTGAGATGTGTCAAGTGCATGTCCCTGGAATTGAAGAAAAAATTTTAAAGGATATCTACAATAAAAAGGCAAAAGTAACAATAGATTCTATAATTTGATAAGGGGCTTGCAATATAAAAAGACGTAAATTGTGACAACAAAAACTCAAACTGTGGGGCAGTTAATGAAATGGAAGTTTTTTGTGGTCACTCATGTAAAATGATATGGAAATTCTTCAAAAAGTGTAAAATAATGACTGTATCCTCCAGTAACCCCACATCTGGGTATAAGCCCAAAGGAAATGAGATCTGTGTGTGGACAAGATATTGCATTCGCATGCTCATTCAGCATTATTCACGGCAGGCAAAGTCTGGCTCCACCTAAGTGTCTCTCAGCTGACAAACAGATCAAGTTAGTGCAGGACAGATTCATGGTGCAGCGCTGCTCAGCCTTAGAAAAGGCAGGAAATCCTGTCACTCTCCACAGTGTACATGAACCTGGAGGGTACTATGTTCAGTAAATTAAGCCAGGCATAAAAAGACCAATACTGCATTATCCTCACTTATCTATGAAATTTACAGTCACTTTCCTGGAAGCAGAAAGTAAAATAGTAATTACCAAGAGCTGAGGCATGGGCAGCTTGGGGAGAGAGTCAGAGGGAATAAAACGTCAGTTAAGAGAAGTTCAGATATTCTAATAAACAACATAGTGACTATAACAACATTATGTTGTATGCTTCAAAATTGGTGAGAGAGAATTTCAAATGTTCGCACCATAAAATACAAGCATGTGATGTAGTATGTATGTTAAATAGTTCAATTAGGCAATTCTACAAAGTATACATACATCAAAGCATCATACTGTGTACCATAAATATATATATATATATATATATTTTTTTTTCTTGTCAACCAAAAGGGTTTTTAAAGAAAAAAGTTTCAAATTACTAATCTAAGATACTGTATCTAGAATAAAAAAAAACAAGAGCAAAATAAACTCAAAGCAGATATAAGGAAAGAAATAACCAAACAGAAATAAGTGAAATTGAAACCAGAAGCACAGCAGAGAAAAATCAATGAAACCAAAAGTTTGTTCTCAGTAAAGATCATTTAAACTGACAAACCCGACAACAAAGATACAGATTAATAATATCAAGTGTGAAATGATGATATCATCAGACCCTGAAGATATTCAAATGATAATAAGGAAATATTACAAAGAACTGCATACATAATTTGGATAACTAACATGAAAAGGTACAGTTCTTTAAAGAGCACAGAACACCATAATTTATCCAAAATAAACAGTAATATCAATAGCCCTGTAATTTTCAAGAAAAACTGAATTCATAATTTTAGAAGTCCCCCCCCCCAATAATCTTTAATTCCAGGTTATTCACTAGAAAATGTTACCATGCATTTAAAGAATTAAAACCAATTGCACATTTCTTTCAAAAAAAATGGAAGAGGAAGAAATGCTGCTTCATTCCTACTACGAAGTTAGCATTATACTACTACTAAAGCCAGACAAAAATATTATAAAAAAAAGAAAACCTTATATCAGTAGCCTTCCTAAGATGGTCATAAAAATCCTTAACAGCCAATAGAATTCAGCACCATGTAAAAGGAATTATCCACCATTACAAAATGCAGCTTATTGGAGAGATGTGAATCTGATTCAGTGTTCAAAAGCAATCTGAAATCAACTGCATCAATAGACTAAACAATCATACAACATATACAGAAAAAGCATTGGTCAAAATTCTGCACCCTTCCATGATATAAAAATTCTTAGAAAAATTAGAAGAGCATTAACTTCCACATCTTGATAAGCACATTTACAAAAAAATCATATGCTATACATGATACTTACTGATAAATACTGAAATCCTTCCCCCAACTGGGAACAAGGCCTTTTACCATTCACTTTCAGCATGGTGCTGAGAGGTTAGTCAGCAAAATCAGGCAAAGGGAAAGAAAAGGCATATTGATCAAAATAAAGGAAACAACCTTTATTTGCAGTGACGTGATTGGCCAGGTAGAAATTCCTAAGCGATATGCAAACAAAACTAAACCCCTCCCCAGGCTCTCCTATAGCTGGTGGGTTCAGCAGCTACAGGATACACTTGTGTTTTTATGTACTAGCGAGGAATGCCATGGACACTAAAATGAAAAATGTCTTTTATAGTCTCTCAAAAAAATAGATAAGTACTAAGCTCAAATGTAAAAGTCTTATATGCTAAAAACTATAAAATTCAGATGAAATAAAAAAATTTAAGTGAGTAGATAGAATTACCATGTATATGGAGTAAAAGACTCAACACCATTAAAATTAACAGTAAAAACATCAACTCTTTTGAATGATATAAAGATCCAAGGCAATTCCTATACAAATCTCAGCAAGATGTTTTGTAGACATGAACAAGATCATCCTAAAGTGCACATGGAAAAGCAAAGGAACCAAAATATCTAAAAATGATTTTGAAAAGTAAAGAGCAGGAAGCATTAGTCTCCTGGTTCCAACACTTTCATCCACAGTAATCCAGATTCTGTGGTAGGTAGTGGGGTGATAGAGAACAGTGGGAAGGCCTGAGGACCCGGACACAGACCTGTGCACATCAGCCAAACTGATTTTTTTCTTTACAAAGATGCAGATCCGTTCAACAGAGGAAATGCAGCCTTTTAAGTATAATGTCAGAGACATAGTATAAGGGTAACTTAGAAAAATAAAGCTTGACCTAATTCTCACACCTTACACAAAAGTTCAAATTATTTACCTCCCTCAAGTGGCCAGAAGAAAGAAATGAGATCATCATTTGTTTTATTTTTTTTTAATGCACAGATAGGTAAATAAATCTGGGAAGGAAGCAAGAGATTGTCATTTATAAAAATTGGGAAACAAGTGTATACCAGGAATGGGGCACATTATATCATAAATAGGTGTCTTTGAAAGTATGAGTGGCTAAACAAAGCTTTCAAAGCAAAGAGTGGCAGGATAAAGTGTTTGAATTAAGCCAGGGGAAAGCAGGGACACAGTTCAGTGGTAGAGAGTTTGGGATTTCACAAGTGAGAGAAGAGGAGAGAAAGAGGAAAAATCAGTAAAGTAAAAGTGTATAGTTACCCAAAGCAAAACACATGCTATTAATCGTCTTTGAAGGATTTCAGGTTTGTGTGTCAATAATCATGCATTAATAGTCCCTAAGAAAAACCTAGGATTTCATTAATTTTATCAATTAATTGTATGTTAAGAATAAAAACTTAAAAATGAATCAATTGCTTTGTCAGTTTTCTGAGCAAAATTTTGAGGACCCAATCAGCAAAAGAGAGAGAAAAAAAGTCCCGCTTATTGTATATACAAATTCATTAACAATAGGGAAGAATCTTTTATAGAAAACTTCTCCTTAAAAAAAGAATCCAAGAAAGCCATTTTATGGAGAACAGTATCTGATGCTTTTCTAAGTATATTTCTAACACCCTACCTTTTAATTTTCCTGCTTTTACTTCTGAAAAGCAGGTACCAAGTGGCCCATTTTCACAGATAAGGAAACTGAGGCTCCAAGGAACCAAGTAATTTGTCTGAAAGAAGTAGGAGGAATGAAATTCAAACCTACATTTGTTAATAATTGAGATAGTGATCATGTCACAAAATAAAATCCTCAGGACTACGACAAAAAGCAGGCGCTGTCTGAGCTGGGGTCAGTGGGCCTCTTTTCAAGTTGTGCTCAGGGACAAAACATTTCAGGGTGTGACACGGGATTCATTCTGTGAAATCAGACTTAGACTTTTGTTCCCCTTTTCTCTTTCCTTTCAAGCTTGTCTTCTATATGTTATCACTAAATATCAATGCTTTCTTTTAAGTATGGAATACGTTATCTGTTATAAACCAGGAAACTTCACCTGGTTTTATATGCTTTCACTGACTATAAAGTCCATGCTAGGAATCCTGCAGAGGCTTAAACCAGACCAGTGACCCTATGACTCCCCACTCTGAGAGTGGGCGCTCCCTGAAGCAGAGCTTTGAAGGCGGGGGTGCTGAGCTCTTATCTTGTGGAAGTGCCGTGCTGGGTTGTGGGGAGTGGATGACACAGTATTGAAATAATTTTTTTGTTTATTTCAGCAACTTACGAAGTTGGAATTGAAGAACTCCAAAAGGTATTTTTTCTTCTCTCCACAGCAGTGTTGGAACTAAAAGAAGTGTACAGGTCTGGGGTTTTTTTGAGCAAGGAACAGCCTTTTTTTTCCCAGAGTCCTTGCTATGATTCTGAATCCTGCGCCTGTGATGTGAGACCTGGCAGATGTGCAGTGAGAGAGTAGCCGGCCTGATTTGCTTCTGTCCCTTTATCTATGGCAGCCAATGCCAACTGGCCTTTAATAATTATCCCTTCACAGGGAAAGGTCCGTGGCTCAGTGCACATTTGTGAATCACGGGAAAATGACACAGCCTTGAAGGCAGGCTTTCGTGGCAGCTGCTGAGTGCAGGCCCAGAGGGGTGGGGGGTGGGGGGATAGTGCAACAATTTGCTTGGGGCCCAAGCAGAGTCACTGCTCGCCTTGATCATAGCGCCTGGTTGTGTGATCCCAGATCCCCATTTCCTTACTTGAAAAAGAGAAACCATCCAGGACTCCTGTGAGGATAAAGCCAAGGCAAACCTAAGGTGTACACAGGTACATATTCTGCTAGTATGCGCCTGGAACAGGGGGTCTCTGTACATGGAGAATTCTCCATGGGGACAGCAAACATCAATCTTGGTACTCTATCTGCAGCAGTAAATGCTTAATAAATAAGGGGGCCAATGCTCACTTCACGCACCTGCTGGAAGCACCGGTCAAAGTGGAGGCACTGAGCACCATACCTGCTCACAATGGGCACCTGCCTAGTATTTTCATGGGGCAGTTAAGTTCTACCCTGTCCACTGGGTGCCTTTAGTTTAGCTCCTTTATCTCTGCTTCAGTTTTCTTGTGTGTGCTGCTGAGGACTGCTCATTTGTGAGCATGTTTTGTAAAAGGAAAATAAATATTGTTCTTATTAATGGCAATATAAAAAAAGTCTTCTAAAACGCTTTATCTATTTGGTGATCAATAAACAAGAAGCTGCTCAGTACAAGTGAACTGTCCAGATGACCCAGTCTTCTCTCCTTTTCAAATCAAAAAGCATAAAAGTATCCTTGATTTTTATATATTGTGACCGCCAATAATCTTTTACATTTATCTCTGCATTTCATGGCAGTGTGAGTAGAATCTGATTTTCTCCTTTCTCAATAACTTGGCGTATTCCCGAATGTCAGACTGCGTGGACATGGCATGTGCTCTTCCCTGATGATCCCAGGCCCTCTTAGAGAGCTAGTTGCCTTCATACCACTTGCAGATGTGGTTTCTGAGATGTTCTTTCCTGGCAGTCATCCTGTCTGGCTTATGGCCATCTCTGTGTGCAGCAGTGCTTCTCTTCAGGTCAAGCGTGCCCCATCCTTGTTGCATGCTGGGCACTTGTACACACAGGAAGTACAGAGTCTGCACAGGACCCTGAGAACTGGCGTTGCTGTGTCCATGTAAGGGGAGCTGAGGGCTCAGAGGAGTGAAGTATCCCAAAGGGAACTCAGCAGGATATTAGACAGGGCCATTGGGCTTGTCGTTCCACAAAGGCTGCGTCTCATGTGCTAGAATTATGTGTCACATAAGAGCCAGTTCTGCATGAGGGCCTGGAGCTCTCTCCTCCAAGATCTGTGAGTAGATGAGCTCTCATTGCTAGGTTTTGCAGCAGATTTTTAAAGTTTATCTTGTGCTTTCTTCAGAGCATTTGACTAGATGTTAAATAATTAATGGCATTGGATAGTGACCCCTGGACTTGTGGAGGGATAATCACTTGTGATCCCCGGGGTGTCGCTTCAATGGGAAAATCCAGATGGTGTGGAGCTCAGTTTCGGTCACAGGGTACATGATCAGGAAGGGAGAGATCCCACCAACTCTGCCTTCTGAAACATTGCTCAGACATATTCCCTCACACGATATAGACGTTCCTTATTCCACGTGTGTTCTTAGGAAGGCATGCAGAGAGCAGTTTATTTCCCTAAGCAAAACCATGCATTTCCTCAGACACACACTATAACTTCAGAAATGCTTCTTTATTTTGTGATTGTCCTCCAGCTCCACAATTAGCCATTCCTAGAACTTCTGCGGTCACCCTTGCCTGCATGCTGAGAGCTCACCTCTGGCCTGTTGGTCCAGTCTCCTAATGATTGTAACCAAACAGCTGAGCCTGATTAGGGAGATTCATAAAAAGAATTACACTTTTCCTCTTTACTTTCAGCCTTGGAAGAGTTTTCACCATCAAGAACTTGGGTGAGTTTTATTTTCAAGAAGGAAAGCATTTTCAGGCATGGTAGTGTCTGCCTATAATCTCAACACTTGGGAGGCTGAGGCAAAAAGATCTCTGTGAGTTTGAGGCCAGCCTGGGCTACATAATGAGTTCAAGGAGAAACTGCACTCCATAATGAGATCTTGCCTAAAAAATAAGGTGGGGGAGCATTAGTCTGGCCATGACCCTCTCAGGGCTGAACCAGTGTCCACTGTGCATTGCATCAATTACATTTCCAGTGCCTGAGCTAGTCCAGTTTCTCCATACCCTGCAGGTGCCTGATGCGGAGCGGTCACTCGGTCACCCCACCCCACCGTCCTCTCTGATCTCCTCCTGGCCCAAGCTGGGCTCACTTAGCAAATGCTAGCTCGTAAGGCAAAGAGGAGAAATGAAAGCTCTGGTTCTAATACCGCACAGAAGGACAAAGCGTTAGAGTAACAGGGACAGTGTGCATGGCTGCCTGGGACAATCAGGGATGGAGTCTCAGAAGTAGGATGCTCTAGGCAGAAGGGTCTCATTGGTCAGCAATTTAAGACTCAGAAGGTATATCCAGAAATAATTAGCTAATAGAAAAGGAGACTTGCCCAAAGAAGACAGTGGGTTTGGGTGACTATAAGGAATTTAGAATCAAGCAAAAGTGGCGGGAAGGAGCACAGAGACGGGGTTGGAAAGAAAGATAGGGCTTAAAAGTTTTCAAGCAGGAGTTGACGCTCCAGCATTGATTGAAGTAGGCTTTCCATATGATTAATCTGGTCCTGATCTCTTATCTTAAAAATGAAAAGGAAAAGATTTGTATCTATTAACAGTCATTTTCTCATTCATGTCACTTAGGACTGAGCAGTGCACCATCTAAACACTAGTTTTCACTTTTTCCTTGGCATCTCTTCATATTTTAGCCCTAACCGTGAAGATAAGGATAAACACACGCAGGAAAAAGAGCCACATGAAATGGAACATCAAAAATCAGAACAGAATCCACATTCAAAGAATCCTTTCAAGGTATCAGTGTTCCAGGGTTTTTGGTCAAATGGCATAGTGCAGATGTGTGACAGCGTTTGTCAGGTTGACATTTTCAAGACTAAGATAAGCAGCTCTCCAGGGAGATGGTGGAGCATGCAGTGGGTGCTGGGTGTATCACCGAGGTTACAAATGTGCAGAATCACTGAGCTACAGCTGCTGGCTTTCCTCTTATTTCTCAGGAAGGGGCCTGGGAAGCAGGTTCAGAACTGGAGTAGGTTGAGCAGAGTACCTAAAAAAAATGCAGAGTACAAGGGCAGTGACCCTCAGGGACCACCTACCTCAGTCCATTTTCTGCTGCTATAATAAAATATCCATGACTGGTAATTTTATAAAGGATGGAAGTTCATCTGGCTGGAAAGTCCAAGAGTAAGTACAGTGCTGGCATCTAGCAAGGGCCTTCTTGCTGCTGCATAACACGGCATAGAGTGTGATATAGAGAGACAGAAAGCCAGAGGGACCTGGTACAGCAGATACTCCCTTGGTACCCCACTGAGGTGAGTGACAGACCCAGTCTACCCCAGAGGCCCCACTCCAAGTATCATTAGCATATGGATTTGGGGACTAAGCTGGGGGACACATCCAAACTCTGCACGTGCCCACCATGGAGTTTAAGGGGCACCTTAAACTTTGTGCTGAAAGGTCCTGTTTAGAAGAATCTGTTTCTGAGTGATCATCTTACCAAGAAAATAAAACTGCAGGATTTTACTCAACTACCATCTCCACTCACACCCCAGGCAGCCTTATTCACAATGATAAAGAGAAATAGGGCCAGGAGTGGTTGTGCACGCCTGTAATCCCAGCACTCAGGAGGCTGAGGCAGGAGGATCACCATGAGTTTGAGGCTAACCTGGACTGTCTAGTGAGTAGTTCAAGTTTATCCTGAATTACATAATGCAATCCTTTCTCACAAAAAATGAGAAATACTGTACCTGTAAGCACTATGTAAGACATAACATCTCATAAAGATGCGATGTGCTGCTGCTTTGTCAATGTGAGATGTATAGACAGGATCTCCAGCTGACACTTCCTCTTTAGTGTGGTGGCAAGGATACTTAAACAGTACACACCCTGCCAGAGCCACTGCCAGTGCCGCAGCTTGCTAGATGCTGCGCTGAAATGGTTCATCTTTTAATACAAATGCTGCTGGCAGGGCTGGAGTGAACTGAACAGCATGTTGGTAGTGAAGGCATGGACTAGTGTGTAGGCGAGGCTGGGTGGAGAGAGAATCTCACAGGGCAGTATCATTCACAGGGGAAAAGTGAGTGACTAAGAAAGATGGGATTGAGAGCCAGGGAGCAGCACTGGTGTCAAGGCCGGGGGTGGGGGAAGTGATGCCACACGTGCGTGACGACAGTGAAGCCTGGGAAGGGGCTGGTGCGAGTGTGTGAGAAGGAAGTAAGGAACCCTAAGAACACCGACCCGTAAAAAGCAGGTGCAGGTTCTTCTTCATTGCTGGCTAAGTGGCGGGAGCCACGTATGGGGTCATTTCTTTATGGAGTGGGTTGAAGTTAGAAATTGTTGAGAGTTGCTGTTTCGTCGGGAGTGTGTTAGGTGGAGGAAGGGAGTGGGAGGTGGAGCTGGGTGGTCCTCTTCCGGGTAAAACACATGACCACTGTGATTTGAGCAGCAGAGTCCCCAGACAGGCTTATGGCAACTAGGGCACTACTTCCCTAAAGGGAGTGCACCACATGTCTGCCTTGCGCTGAGACCCTTTGTGACTCAGCCCCACTCCATCTCATCCCCACTCCCCCTTCTGCACTCCCATGCGGCCACTAATGCTTTCCAAATGCCCCCGCCTGCACTCGCTGTAATTCATCGACAGCTCTTCCTTTGTCCCCACCATCTGTCTCTCATCTACATTTTTCAGAGCATGGTTTAGTAAATCCTACTTTTTGAAGTCTTTTGCAGCCCCATCTTCCAGCCAAGAGGTCCCATTTCCATGGCCTTAAGCAAGGCTTCTCTCACTGCCATGTGTCACATTGTACCAGTTTGCTGCAAGTATTTTGTCTGTGGCTGGTGTGCAGGACGCTGTCCCCAACATCTATTCAACAGCTATGGTTCCCCGCCGTTAGTCTGTGCTTGACAAACACTGGAGGGAGGAAGTACAGAGACAAGTCAGAGGGAAGAGAAGATTGGAGGATGGAAAGACAAAGTGTCAGGCAAACAGAGAGAAAAGAGAAGAAATGCCCTGCCTCCTTGTGTGGTAAGGAGCACAGGGTTCGGAGGCCAAGCCCTGCCTCTGCAGATTGCTACCCACAAGACCTGAAAGTGGCTATTTAATCTGTCTAAACCCTATCAAGAGAACTGATAATCTAATGATCTGGCCTGGAGATGAGTGGAGTCATGATAATTAAGTGAGATGAGACACATAAAGAACTGGCCTTGAGGGGCTGGGGATTTAGCTCAGCGGCATAAGCGCCTGCCTTGCAAGCAGGCAGTTGTGAGTTCGATCCCTGGTACCAATAAAAAGAAAAAATGCAAAAAAAAAAAAGAACTGGCCTTGAAACCCCTGCTTAGCTGTAGCCTGTGGGCCTGACTCAATGCCAGGAACTGACTGGCCATTCAGAGGCAAGTGAGGACATGGAATGTGCCCTTGCAAAACTTGGAATCTAGTAAAATAGCACTTACTAGTGAACAATAAATAATAAATGATTGTTGTCCTTAAGGAATGAATGAATGAATGAATGAAGCTCACATAAACAAGGAACAGATTGGCTAAGCACCCTCCCTGTTGCATATGTAGGCAGATGTTTATGAGGTAACGCTGGAAGATTCCGAGGTTCCCGGTGTACACAGAGATAGGCGGAGCATGGCAGCTGCACCACAGGAAACCATAGCTGAGGACATGGAAGCGAAGGCTTGTCCAGAGGACATGAACCTGGCCAGGCCCCCCCAAGACCAGGGTAAGTATGTGTCTTCCTGGCCCTCTTGGTCATTGTCATCTCCGAGATTTTGTTTGCAAATACTTACTGAACATCTGTGGTGCACAAACTAACTAGCCCTGCTGGGTAACTTCAGTGGCAGAAGACTCGCAGTCAGCTCCACACTCTGATACTTCACGGGTGGGTGACAAGGGACTGCATAGGCCTGCAGCTCAATTCTTCATTTATCAAAGGGATCATAACATGAGCCTCACAGGGTTTTTCTAAGTGTCAGCTCTCATGGTTGTCACAAAATGGGTACTCATCATCTGTTCGTCCTTTTCTGTTTATACCAGCTAGTTTGTTGTCTCTGAGGGATCGTGCCATCCACACACTGATAATGGAATACGATATAATCCATTGATTTTGGTTAGGTTGTATTTTACCTTCCTGTCTGTCAAGATCTTGATTGCAAACAGCAGTAACTCAACCATACTTTGAGGTAAGGAATGAAAGGAGATCTAGCTAGTACAATGCGTAGGCATGACTGGATCCAGGGACATGAATAAAATCCCAAGGATTTGGGTTCACTTCTCTTCCCTGGCTTTGCTTCTTTTTGTAGGCCCTCATATTTGGGCAGATTCTACCCTTGGGGAAGGAAGAAGGCATCTCACAGTGATGAGCTTGCAACTCATGCTCTTGCAAACCCTAGTGAGAAACTAGAAACCTCTGTGTTCCCAGAAGTCATAACAAAACCAAAGACTACAGTCTTATTGGCTTGGACTGGGGCACGTGTCACCCCTGAAGCAATCATTCTGATAAGGGCATGGTGCTGTGGATGAGCTGGCCCGTGTCATTGCCAGCTGGAGCTGGGGATAGTCAGTTCTATCCCAATGACATACCATCAGCTTGAGGGGTTTCCTGACAAAAACAAGACAGCTCTCATTGGGAAAAAATGTACATTCTGGGTAGATGAAGACAACAGATGTTCATTCCAGCCTAATAAGCCATGGCAAGCCACTGACATTTCATAGTGCATCTCAGTCACAATGTGTTACAGTCAGAATGGAAGAGTACATTTCAGCGACTATGAGGTGAACTCAAGGCCTCTTACAATCAGCTTCCAGCCTCATCTGTTGCACACACCAGTCTCCCTGTGTGTCTGGCTGCAGCCTCAGTTTGCTGGTCGAGCCCTGTGTTCATGGGTCCTGTTCTTTGGTTTTATCTCTCTCCTCCATCTGGGAGACCATTTTCTGCATGCTGGCCTCCTGGCCATCCTGCAAGCTCTATCCCAAACTTTACTTCTTCCGAGGCCTGCTTTAGCTTCAGTCTACATTTCTGTTTCTCATTCTTTAGGGACTCTTAATTTCTCACTCTCCTGTTTGCATGACACACAGCAACAGAATGATCGCATCTCCATATAAGAATCCAACCAATACATTTCCGAGACTCACGACCACTAATACTAACAGTGTGGTCTTCAGAAATTTACTTATTTTCATGTACAAATGGAGGTAATATTTCCTAGGCCTGCTTGTCATCATGCATAAAGCATCTGGTTCATAAAATACCCCTTAGTTCTGTTCTTTTCATTTATTTTCCCTTTTTTTGTACCAGGAATTGTACTCATGACCTTGTGCTTGCCAGGCAGGCACTTATTATTTTTCTTTTTGAAAAATTGTATCATGTCTTATGTCTTGGTTCCACAATACCCAACAACCACAACCGAAAGGAGGAGAGATTTATTTGGCTCACCACTTGTGAAGGTTTCGGTCCATAGCTGGCTAGCTCCAAAGCAGGGAGGCATGGCAAAGGAGAAATAGCATGGTTTGGCAGTTAGGAACCAGAGAGGGAGCAAGGGAAATAAAGGACAGTACACTCTCCACACCACACCCACAGTGACCCACCTCTCCCTATCTCCCAAAGTCACACCCAGCTACAACATCACAGCCAGTGGATGAATCCAGTATCACACACCCATGATCAAGTCACTTCCCAAATGCCCCACCTAATAAGCACTTGAGGCTTGAGGGGGACATCTAGATATAAACCATAACATCTTACATTGCAAGTCAGTCTACTGTGTGCTCCTTGACATCAGTGACCATTTGCAGGCTTATTCTATATCTCTAATCTTTATGCAGTGTTGCCATAATGGAGCTTCTGAACAAACTTTTGTTGAGAGAAGGAATAAAAGAATGAATCAAACTTCAGTTTCTGAGAACATGGTAGATTGGACTGATTTTTTGTTTTTGTTTTTTGATACTGGGGATTAAACTCACAACTTTACTCTTGCCAGGCAGGGTCTTATGCCACTGAGCTAAATCCCCAGCCCCTGAACTGATCCTCTTGATTCAAACAAAGAGGAATAAATTCTTTAAGTGTTTATAAAAGTATTACAAAATTGGTATAGAAAAAGAAAGCATCCCTGAACCAGGCATCCTGGGAGGTAAGTCCCAAAGCTTGTGTTTCCCTGAGGATTTTGTGGAGCACCTTGTCCCTAGGCTCCTGCTTGCCTGCAGGATGTGACAAGGGTAGGACACAACAACATCCCAGGGCCTGCCAAGCACAGTCCATGATAAAAGACTCCTGAATAAGCAAGGTCCCTGGGTTACTTCATTTTCTATTACCGTAAACAAGTGCCAGGGATAATCAACTTGTAAGGAACAGAGGTGATATTCTGGGGCATGGATTCAGAGGTCTCAGTCCATGGTCACTGGGCCCCATTGCCTTAGCCTGTGGTGCGGCAGCAATCACGGTGGAGAAAATATGTTCATCTTATGGTGGCTGAGAAGGAAGCAGAGAAGAGGAGAAGCTGGAGTCCCTCCATCCCCTTCAAGAGCATAACCTCAGTGATCCGAAGGCTACCTCTTAAACATTTCACCACTGCATTTGCATCAAAAATTGAAGATACATCTAGATCCAAACCACAGCAGAATCCTCACAATCACATCTGTACCTGAAGAACAGACACTACCCTCACCGACCAGAGGGACCTTTCCCCTGGTACTAGGTAAAGGAAAAATTTTGAAAATCTTTTACCATGAGCTGATCCTGATGCAGAGCTGAAATTTAAACCTACAGTACCTGTGAGATTCGAAAATAATGCAATTTAATCTATAACGGCATCAGCTTGATAAAGCTTCCAGACAACTAACAGAAGCAGACATAGATTTGTCTTGATGAAACCTATTGCTGCTCAAATTTCAAATTATGCCTATAAAATGTTCTTTGAAAAATTAAACTTAAAGTGAAAAATATACCCAAGGAAGTATCTCACAGTGAATGAAAACTAGCAGAACACAGAATGTGGAACCAACTATAAGATATTGAAGATATTTGAATTATCAGACATAAAACAAGATATAAAAATATGAAGAGAATATGAAAAAATTGAAACAAAGTTCATAAATTAATACAAAAATACAATGAATACTAAAATATCCATAAGATTAGGTATAGCACCTGGGATTTAGCTCAGTGGCATAAGCACCTGTCTGGCAAACATGAGGTCCTGAGTTCAATACTTGGTACTAAAAAAAAAAAAAAATTAGACATAGCTGAAGAAGAAACTAGTGAATTAAAAGATCAATCTAGAGAAATTTTCCAGAATTCATTCTACAGAGGGAAATGATGAGAGGGGATAATAATCAGAGAAGCTATCGTGAAAAGTTTTAACATCAAACTAAAGTTTTGTAAAATGACACTGGAAAACATGGGAAAGAGGAGATGGTACATACCAAGAATATCCCATATTTATTTGGAGATATAGAAGCTCAGAAACCCTAAAGTTCTCAGGCAATGTAAATAGAAGAAACCCACACTTAACTCTGAAATAAACTGAAGAACATCCTGGTATTCAGGAAGCAGGGAGCAGAGAGAAAACAGTAAAGAGGAAGGGGCCAGGGACCAGTTAGGGTCCCCAGGGTGATATCCCATGGCCCATGCAGACATACCCAGAACTGTGCCTTACTAATCTAGGCGTCTCTCAAGCCAGGTTAGGTTGATAGTCAAGATTAACCATTCCAAGTCCATCCCTTGTCAGCTTGAAACTCAAGCACATCTCCTTAAATTGTGCTTAATCTTCCAGTAAAGATGATAACAACATTATAAGTCTACCTTAACATGATATACCTATCCTGTGTACAACAAAGAATGACTAATTCCTTCTCCAAAAATCTTAACAGTTCCAGCATTGGTCCAAAGTCCAAGTCCAAAATCTCCTCTGAGACTCAAAGTGGCTCATAGTTATGAGCCCCTAAAATTCAAAAAGCAAATTACACAATCCCAAGATACAGTAACACAGAATAAGCATTCTCATTCCAAAGAGAAGATTAGAGAGATATGAAAGAATCAGAACAAAGCGAGATTGAAGCCTGATAGGGCAAACATAGTCCTGTAGCTCCACGTCTGGTATCTGGGGCATGTGGCTGCAAGCTATGAGTTCCAAAGGTCTTGAATGGCCCCATGCCCATTCCCTGGCCAGTAACAGCCTTCATGATCTCTTGGGCTGACTATGTTCACTAACTGCAGTTCTCCTCGCAGATATTCTGTATTGCTAGCATCTCCCACTTCCTGAGGTCTCCGCTGAAGCTTTAGTCTCACCTCATAGCTGTTAGGGATTGAGGCAGGTATTCTGACCAATATGTGGCCTCTTGGGCCTTCCTGTGAAAGCTGAGCAGAAGCCTTCATGATGCTAAGGCTCTTATGTCCTGCATACCTTAATGGGTACTGTGGGTCCAGTGGCCTCTGAGTGCCTATTTGACTGAGTATGATGCAATGAATCGTAGGGAGTCAGTTCCCTTCTTAAGTAGGGAACCCAGTAGCTGTCTTTGGAAATTAAAAGGTTTATGCCTTTTGTACACTTGGTCCTGGGGTAGATAAGCTGATAGCAGATCCTTCATGGCATTTTTTTCTCTTGTCCTTCTGCAAGGTACTTGGTTTTGTTTGTTTCTTTACTTTTATTTCACTGAGGGCTGAATCTACAAACTGTAAATTGGGATGAGTTTTGGAAAACTGGCAGTATTAAAATCAAATATGTACACACATACACTTCTATGACCTAAGTATTGCATGTTGTGTGTATACCTAGTAGAAAAGCTTACTTTCATTCATATACAAGGTGTTCATGGCAAAATGTATTGAAATAGCCCCAAACTGCAGCCTGTCCAAGTGTTAACAAAAGTAGAACATTCGCACCGTGTAAATACACAGTGCTAGGTTCACACAACGGAGTCATGGGGAAGGATAGAGTACACCTAAAGGCAGCACCACAGATGAACCTCACAAGCGCAGTACCAAAGAAAGGGGTAATACCGAGGACTGCATTCGGAATGCCTGCGTCAAAGAAAGTTTAAAAGCAGAATATACCTTCGGTATTAAAGTCAGGAGAGTGGCTGCCCCGCAGGAGGGGGCGATTGCGGGCAGCGAGCACAAGGGGGCGTCAGGGACGCGGGCGAGGCCCGCTTTGGGTCTGCGCACTGGATGCATCCAGCCTGGGAAAATTCACTGATCTGCACCAACACAGCTGAGGGCCTTTCCTCTAAGTGATGCCATTAAACTCTAACACAGAGCAGGGTGACTGTCAAAAGAACACGTGTACCTTGCAAGCAAGAAGGAAAAGAAATAAGCATAATGAAGGAAAGAAATTTCACTCAACCAAGAAAAAGGAAGACAGGTAGAAGGGAGATGAATAGGATCAAAATGCATTACGTGCATTGAAGCAAACCCCAAAAAATGTGAAAGTAGGCGGTAAAGTGGGGCAAGAGGAATTATGGGGGAAATGAGTAAAGAAAGCAATGCACTGTGCAAGCCTACCAAAATGAAATCCATTACCCTGTATGACCAATATGCACTAATTTTTTTGAAATATGGAAAAAGAAAAAGGGGAAATGGAATTAAGTAAAAATCATATGTAAAAGTATCAATGAATCCTCTACAGATAAGACACTAAACTCTACATTAGTTAGAAAAGACATGTATTCAAATTGTTCAGTATTCGAAAAGCACTTGAGTTTTTTTATGTGCCCAGCATTGTTCTAGGTACTGAGGATAAAGCAGCAAATAAAAGACAAAAATGCCTTTCCCCATTGGGGTTATAGTTTCATCAAAAGAGACATAACAAATGCATAAATAATAAAATATGAATATATGGGATAATAGTAAATGTTGTGAAAATAAAACAAGCAAGAAAATTAAGGAGGCACGCGGAGGTGATAGAAGTTGCTCATGAATGACCCTGAAAGTCTAAAGTAGATGAGGAATATATAAATGTATCTAAAATAGGAATAGGTTAAGGATTTAACACAATAGTGAATAAAGAAAATGAGCATCTATTCATAGTGGACTACTACTCAGCTATAAAGAAGGATAATTCTGAGACATTTGTACGAAAATATTTCTGGAAAACATAATGCTGAGTGATTGTTATGGTTTGTATTTGAACGCCCCCCCCCCAGCTCAGGCAGTCGTGGGCAGGGCTGAATCTAGTGTTTGTGATTGGTTCATTGTCAAGCACAGGGATTGGTGGTGTGAGTGCTACACCCGCCCAGGCGTGGAGCCAATATGCAATGTAAGGGCGGGAAGGAGGCGTGCCTTCCCTCTTTTGTACTGTTTGCTTTTTCCCTTTTTGCCCTTTGGCTCTTGCTCCTTGCAGCTGTCATGAACGGCTGCCCCTCAGCTATGCCACCCTGCCTTGAAGCCAGCTGAGTGTGGACTGAAACCTCCAAAACTGTAAGCTAAAACACCTTCCCCTTCCTAATTTTGGATATCAGGAATTTTGTCTCAATAACGAGAGAAAAGTAACTAAGACAATGAACTAATTCAGTCACACAAATGTATATATTATATATGGTATCTCTTATTTTATAAGGCAAAGTACAGAGATTAATAAAGGGAAGACAGAAGTTAAGAAGGGGAATCCCTTGCAGATGGGAAGGGGTCGAGGGGATGATGATGAGGATCGGGAGAGGGGAAGAAGTATAAACAGAACAAAGATATGCCATGTGCAGAAACCCAATAACCTCAGTGAATACAAACCTTGTACGTCATAAACACGAGCTAAGATGAATAATATTCACACAAACAACAGTGGGGGAAGAGGGTTTCGCCCAGAGGCAGGGAAGTGGGAGGGCAGGGGATGCACATTAAAAAGGAATAAGCTGTATTGCCTATGTGGGCTACTCCCCAAGTTGAATGCAGACATCGTGCACAGCAGACAGCCGCCAACAAGATGAAAGATAATTACATGATAAACGGGAGGTTTATGAGAGGTCAAAGGTAACATACAGAATATTCTGGGGAAAGAGAAAGAGAAGAGCATGTGCTCTGAAGCGTGGGAACACTGCGTGCTGGCAAAGCAACAAGGGCCGGCGGGACTAAGCAGCGGGGCTGCAGAGGGACGGAGCGGAAGAGGCCAGAGAGGCCCTGGGAGCTGTGAGGATCGCTGCGAGCGCTGTGCTGTTTACTCTGAACGAGGTCTTTACGTGGAGGAAAGAGGTCTGAGCGCCATTTGAAGGATCTCAAGCCTGCTGGCTTGAGAAGCGAGCACAGGATAAGTTAGGAAGACCTGTTAGGCACTGTAGTAATTGAGGTGAGAGCTGACGGCAGTTCAAAGGAGGCTACTATGATTTTCTCTTTTTGATTTTTTTTTTTTTTGAAATGAGGTCTCACTGGCAGTTCAGGCTGTCCTTGAATGTACTGTGTGCCCAGGCTGGCCTCAGACTTCAGCCGTCTTCCTGCCTCAGCCCCCTCAGTGTAGGATTATAGGCTTGTGCCACCATGTCCAGCTTACGGAGGTATATTTAGATTCATGATATAATTTGAAAGTAGAGGTGACAGATGGCTATTGCCTAGAGGTTAGACATGAGAGAGAAAAGAATCAAGGATATCATCAGGGATAGAATTGACTTTTCCTAAGAAGGTACCGACTTTATACAAAATTTTTAGGAAATCATGGGTTTGGTCTAGAAAGTAACCTGCTTAGACAACCAGTTGGAAACTGTATGAGGTTGTATTATCTGGAATTCATCAGAGAGATCTAAGTTAAAGATGTAAGTCTGAGGCTGTTTTTAAAAGGACATCATAACTTTTGCATTTTCTTCAACTAAAAAAAAGAATTAAGAAAAAAAATCCCAGCTAAGTGTTTAGTATCTTTATTTTGTGCTGGAGAAATATTGTGATAGCTTTTTGAGAAGGACTGGCCTTTGTCCTGGGAGCTAGACTTTGAGATGGTTTGAGCCCTAGTCCTTGCCAGATAGTAAAATTTTATTGTTTTAATAATTTAATTAATAGATGTTAGTCACTTTGTTAACTGCTTATTTTTAAGATATGCCACCTCTTATTTCTTATTAATGGTTCATGAGTTCATGTCTGAGAAAGGATCTGGACCTCCCGTGCTCTAAATATTAATCTTGCCAAACAATAGAGGTGGTATCTTTATAGGTATGGAAAATGTATAGCTCTCAGAAATAACCCGGCATATGCATTTAGCAGACTAGCTACTTGTGCATCATGTCCCAGTACATGCTTTAGGCTGGCACACTTTCTTCTGGTTAATTCTATCAGTAACAAATAATATGTGTCGATGTGTTCAACCAACTTCTCTGAGAAGATGGCATATCTTTGTTCTCTGAGAAACTGTGTCATAAGGAGAAAATGCCACAGGACTTGAGAAGGTCATTTAGATTTCGAGAAAAGCCCCAAGCATAAGGCCTGGAGGACATTGACATTTAAGGTGAGATCGAAGAAACAGCCATCAAAGTCGTAGTGATGACTGGTTTGCTAGGAAGCAGAATTTCTGATAAGAAATATGCATGTAATCCTTGCCATGGTCACATAGGAGTAAGCACTATCATGATTACCCTTCACCTCAGAGCAAGCCTAACTGAGGACCTGTGAGGCGGAGTGTATTATCCAAGTGCTTACCCAACGAAGTGTGAGCCTGCTTCTTGCTGTCGTGATGTTTGTGCACATGTGCGTGACAGCAGCTGATGAGATGTTCTTCACAGGGCCTCTCTCTCCCTTACAGGCAGCTTTGTGGAGACTTTGGAGCTGACTGCACACACACAGGATCTGGTGGCCTTTAAGTCACGTTCCCTGTCACAGGCCACATATGATGATGTGGATTGCCTCAGGAAAGATATGTACGTACATTCCAGCTCTGCACAGAGATGGGTTTGACGAGACTTTAAAGGTGCAATGGATTGACTGTCTTGTTTCTGTTCTCTTGTAGATCCAAGTCGGACTTCTGTAGCTCATTCACCTCTGACAGCGGTAAGTCCAGGAAGATGTTAATGAGAAGCCCACAGGAGCTGCACAGTGCTTCTGTGGTTGATTAGTAATTAGGCATGCTTTATTTATCAGTATTCTTAATAACACCAATTGGGCAGGATGATAGTGAGATAAGAGAAGTGGTCCCAAGGTGTGTGCTGATAAATGCTTTCAGAGTAGGAGAGGTGAAGACTCCATAAAGGCTGTTTAGGGTAAAAAGCAGTGAAACTGTGAGGCTGCTTTCTTCTTTGTGTCTCTACAGTGTAAGTCTGGTTAGAGGAATGCTCTACTTAATCCACCTTCGAGGCTTCTAGTCTGCCTGGGATTAACAAGTCTGGAGGCCTTACATGACTGGCCTGTGGGGCCTCCCCTCATGAGTCAGTCTTCCCCTTGGCATCCACTGTGCCCATCGATCGGCCTCCACTGTCATGTCCCCCGGGGTGCTGGCAGACGCCACCCTGTCTTCCAGGAGTGCTTTCCTCCCTGGGCCCTGTCACCCACATGACTCATCTTTCTTTGGATCTCAGCTGTCAGCTCACCTTGGCATACAATCTTATCATACCACAGGCCTCCCTTTCCTAGCATTTGTGTAGTTTTAAGTTTATGTTTATATGATTCTCTGAGTAATAACTGTCTTCTCTCCTAGAATACTACCTTTTTTATGTTTACCATTTCTCTCACCCTTAGAATCATGTCAAGTGCATGTGGAAATCTCTTTAAATACATCCAGTGAAAGAATCAATGAAAGAATGAACAAATTTTAAAGACAGGATGTATTGATCAAATGATACAAAATGACATTTAGACAGAAGGAATAGCATCAAGCGATCTACTATTCTGTAGTCATGACAATTTCATTTCATTTAATAACAACATGTTGTATACTTAGAAATTGTTAAGAGTAGATCTTAAATGTTCTTACCACAAAAATAAAGCCTATGAGGTAATAGTTAGGTTAACTCGATTTAGCCATTCCATGATTTATACAATTATCGAAACATCATGGTATATACATGAACATTTACAATTTTTGCTTGTTAGAAAAAAAAGGTAGTGAAGAAAAATAATGAAATGCTATTCCAGTTGATTTTCTCCTTAGAATCCCAAAATTTTAGATTGAGAAGCAACCATAAAACATTAAGTGAAACTCCCTCATATAAAAGGTAAATTGAGGCACAGAGAAGTAGACTCTTTATTCTCATGTGTTTTGTTTAAGAGTCAAGTTTTGAACCTTAAAATTTAGACTTTTTTTTGTACTAGGGATTGAACTCATGACCGTGCTCTTGCAAGGCAGGTGCTTATGCTGCTGAGCTAAATCCCCAGCCCCTAAAATTTAGACTTTTAATCCAATGTTCTTTCCCATTAGATTCTGTTTCCAAGACAGAATCAACATGTATCTGTGTATATTAAGCATTTAGGTTGGGCAAAAATAAAGCCATGGTATGAAGGAAGAGATTATTTAAGATGCAATATCTTGGGGACTGGGGATTTAGCTCAGTGGCATAAGTGCCTGCCTTGCAAGCAGGCAGTCGTGAGTTCAATCCCTGGTACTGATAAAAAGGAAAACACACACACACACACACACAAAAGATGCAACATCTTTTCCATTGTTTTCCCAGCATTCAGCACAATGTCTCTTGCCTAGAAGGCTCCAATTGCTTTCTATTAAATATGAAAGAGAGATAGAGGGAAGGCTTCTGTTGATAAACTAACCTTCTTTCGTGAAACTGGATCACACTTAGAATCAAGCACCAGCAAGTCTTACTTTTCACTGCTATTTATAGAGGTTTAAGTACATTTGCTGTATGTCTATTTAAAAATTTGTATAGGTTTCCAGAAAAACTACATAATTAAAGACTGAAAGACTTAGCATCTAGCAGGTACCTAGTCATTTTTGTCAATTGTTAATCTGAATAACTATAGGCTTTTGTTTTTCTTAGTTTCAGAAGAAAGTAGTGAAGAAATGTATGAGGATGTCTACAAAGCAAAGAGCAAGTCTCCCCAAATAGAGTGAGTTTCTCTTTCTTGGCTTTATACGCTAGTAAAATTGCCTGTTTGTCTAGCAAACCAGTGTCTAAAAAATAACCCCTAACCCCCGACTGTGCTTTCAGGATGGTTCACAGAGAAAGTGGGACTGAGAGATCACATTGTGACTAACATGATATTTGCAGTTACGTACAATCATATGCCACAAATTTTAAATAATGTTGCTTTTGCTTTTGAGAAAATGTCAGTTTCCCAGAATAAATTTAATATTGTGTTAGGAATTAAGAAAAACTTGCTTTAATTTTGTAATTGCTTTCCATGACCAAATCAATGATTATAACTTACTTTTGTTTTTGCAAGTTAGTAAGGCAAACTCTGGAATTTGGGCTTGATTAATCTAGTAATTTGTTATGGATCACAATCTTTGTTCATGTGGACACTGCTCATTGAGTTTAGTTAGCACATTCTGGAAAGGAAGATTAGCAATAGTCAAAATTGAGACGCTTAAGGATTGGAGGGAAGAGAATGGCTCTTGAGCTTGTCATATTGAGTGGGATGATGAATGTGTCATTCTCATGCTTCTCTCCACCCCTAATATCCTTAAAGGATATTTGGGAGAATTTTAACCAACTGGACAGTCAAAGTGCTACCATTATTTTAGTAGTTGGGGCCTTATAAATCGCTGACTTGAAATTCAGGAGCCAAGAATTACTACAATGTATTACCAACAGTTTGTGATTTCCTTAATTTTCTCCCCTGCAAGGAAGAATTTACTCCATAAATTCTGCAAAAACTGACTTATTGTAGATGAAGTGTGTTCTGTAATATAATTTCTTCTTTATGATTGATTACAGTTTGCTACTTTGAAATCTAAAGAAAAAAAAGTGTGGTAGCATTGGCTTGTTCTTCCTTGAGTGCGAGGTGTTTTGGAAATGGAACTGAAGCTTTGGGTACTTTTTAATACAGCAGCCTTGTATCTCCAATGCCATATATTTTGTCCTGATTCCTTTTAGTTTAGGTGGAAAAGAAGCACTTAAAAGACTGCAGCAATTTTTCAAGAAAGAAAAGGATAGATTTAAAATGAAGGCAATCAAATCAAAAGAAAACTTAAGGTAAAAGTCTATCTCTGTTTCCAGGAGGGCAGTAATGCTGCTGGCTGACAGATGCACAGATATTGTTCTCCATCTGTTTATTAGAAGCAGTAAAGGGGCTAGTAAAAATAAAACCTAAAGTCCTGAGTGAACCCCACCCATGGATTCAGATGAGAAAGTGGTATGTTCTATGGTGAAAAAAGTGAAGACAAAGGTTGTAAACAAGGGTGGAGGGAGTTTTATGCAAAGCCCAGAGCAGAAACTTGCCATCATGGCTGGTATCTATCCCTACTGTTACTGGTAAGCATTATATTCTTACGTCTTCTCGTGTTTCTTGGTTCTCAAAGTCCTAGTGCCTTTGCTACACTTCCGTTTAGTTTGTTTCCATTGACGTCAGTGATGTGCAAAGTGGGGAGATGAACTGTTCAGTGGAACAGTGTGTGTATCTCTAAGTCTCTGCTGTGGAAAAGGCCCTCCAAAATAACGGAGGTGAGTGCTAGGGACAAGAGGAGGTGGCAGTGAAAGACACAAGGAACCCAAACTCTAGATTCAGTTCTGCCAGGTAGTCAGTTTACATAGCGTGGGCAAAGCACTTCCATTTACACTGAGAATTGAAGTTTCTTCCTACATACAACAGAGGAGGCCACTATATAGACTCTGGAGACATTTTTCTGTCTTTTGTATACATGTAGATTTAGATACATAGATACATATCTGTATTTTGTGAGGACAGGGGATGGTAAAATAATTTGCCAAGATCATTACAACATTGAAGTGGAATTATGCTACTGTACTGTGAAGTTCTTTTCAATTCCAAAGCTTCAAGATTCTGAGATTTTAAATCTATGTTTTCTTAGTTCTAGATCTATCAAGAAGCTCAATAGAATGCAAATTTATGTATCATAGCCCTAACTATGCCAGAAGAGCCATGCTCTATTAGTTTATTTTTTATCTGTCTTATTAAATCCCAAGATATTTCAGAAGCGAACCTATGTTTGGTCATTTTACATATTGAATGCAAGAGCCTGGCTCATGGTGGGTGCTCCAAATGTACCTGTAGGTCTGAATTTAAATTAAAAGCTTAAAATACATAGCCCTATCCACCATACCATCACACTTCTGTCCATGTGATCTCCGAAACGGCGAGATCTGAACAGCACCAGGGGATCTAGCTGCCTGTTTAGCACCTTTTATTCGTACCTGGCCTGGACTTCACCCACAAGTCTCCTTTGCCTGACCCAACCTAGGCAGGGAGCAGTGTCTCTAGAGGGTCTTCATAAATTCATCTGTAGGTTGTTCTTTCTCACAATACTTGCACACATGAATGTACATGGTTGGACTTTTGCAAGATTAGCAGACAGAAATAGGGTTCTGTGGAAAGAGAAGGTTGGGCCTGTGGGCAGTCTGATTTGGTAGTTAAAAAATAGGGTACAGACGGAGTGGGGACAAACATTGCAAATAGATTTGACAATAATGCTGGTGAAAGTTGGGGACAATCACAACTCTAAGGACCTGTGTTTTACATCCTTTTGTAGAAGCATCTGGGCTAGGACACTTCGCTATCACTGTGTTATATGAAGTGTATGAGCTAATTTTCCCGAAGAAGACTTTGTGTTTGACCTTGTCTTGACTTTTGTTAATCCACAGGGCACTTTCAATCTCAATGCCTGACTTACGTAAGTGACATTTACTTCTTGGTGACCAAGGGTACTCAGACATTAGTCTATTGAGGGGCAGGGAAAAAGAAATGGTAATATTTAGTGAAAAGAGTCCCATCAAAACCGAAAAGGGTCTTTCACACAAGAGTGCTTCTTACTTTGAGGAAGATAAGAAACCTTTTTACGGTGCTGCTGCTTACCACTGCTTTCTTCTTAAAATCTCAGAAAAACAGATGCTATCATCCCTTTTCAGAAAGGCTCTCAGACTCACATCTTTCCTTAAACATTTTGGATTTTGTATCCAACTCTTTTGGACCATGAAACTCAAGCATTTTACATTATACCACATACTTCATGGATTTGATAGCCAGATCAACTTATTAATAGTAAGAAATTGAGTATGATCATGCTGCAAGCTGCACGCTAAACTGAATGAAAAATAAGTCTTTGGAATATTGTTTGTTTTGTCATTATAACAGTGCATAAATTAGCCAGTGTCTGCCACATAGTACATTCTCAATGCATGTGCAACACTCAATTTGTCCATAAAAGAGGAGCATGTGTTGTTATTATTAGTTTTTATGGGCTCTAGTCATGCGAGCTACTTTGATTTCATTTTGATTCAGCAATTTAAATGTACATTATATTCCACAAGTTGGAGTTTGTGAAAGTAACAAAGATTATATATACCTGGTATGCAAACCTCCTCACATATCCTTGGTCTGGATTTAAAAAAAATAGTTCATTGAAATACAAATGTGTTCTTATTCTAAGGGATGTGTTCCTACTCTGTTTCAGAGACTTGGGTTGAGCAACCTAATCTCAAACTTTAAAATTCAAAATGCTCTAAGATCCAAAACTCAGTAAGTAGGGGTATGATGCCACAAGTGGACGGTTTCACACCGGACCAAATAAGATAGTTTGTAGCTTAAAAACAGGCACAGTAAAAATAATGTATAAAATTACCTTTAGGCTATCTGTAGGTGGCGTATATAAAAAAACAGATTTCTAATTTGGATTTGGGTCCCATTCCCAAGATAGCTCATTATATATATGCAAATATTCCAAAACTAAAAAAAGATTTGAATTCCAAAACTTCAAGTAAAGAATATCAGCTTGTACCTGCATCCAAATTCGAAGGTATGGACAAAAATTATTAAAGCAATGAATAATTATGAATTGAATCTGAATTGTGAAGGCTTGTGTCAAAAGGTCTCAATTTCATTGAAATGGTGAAATACTTGAAAATCATGCAGTTCTACATGAAATGTCAAGGCAGATGAATATTTTCAACAGAAAATGCCTAAAAATGATTATGCACTAGGGCAGAGTAAGTCTAAAGCAAGGTTATTACAAAGGGTTTTCAATGGTTTCAAATAAAAAATTTCAGGCAAGAAAAATGAACATTAATATTCTTCGGAATTATTTTTCCACTGGGAATTTAGAAAAGCCTTCTCATATTCTAGCAGTATAAATCCTTTTTCCAGTTACAGAAAGATGGGACTAGTGTAAAAATGACACTTCCAGCAATTCATTTTCATTTTCTGGACTATCCATAAAATCAAATTTATAAAAACACATATATGTGCTCAAAATACTAGGGCGTCTATTTTTTTTTTTAAATCGATCAGTTGAATTTCTTCCCCAAAGAAAAACTTTTTGTTCTAGCCTAACGTAGTAAATTTTGATAAGGCAGCCTTGGTAATTCATCTGAATAATTAAAATTTAACTGCATAATTTGAAAAGCCAGGCATTGTATAAAACATACCTAATAATGGACTGTTTTGATCTCATCTTGACCCTAGAACTTAGGTCTCAGGAAGTCATTATCTACGATGATGTGAGCACAAGTGAAAGAGCGTCAAAGTAAGTCAGTTTACCATGCTGTCATTCTTGATGATATTTGACCCATCTCCTGATGTTTTGTTAAATGCAGTCAAAGAAGTATCTCTCTAGACCCTCAAAGACTGGATGAAAAGAGGATACTTCCTCCAGTACAAAGGGAATTGATGAATAACACCAATGATTCAACACTGGTAGTGATCTGAAGCGCAATGGAGCTTTGGAATTTGTTGTTGTTTCAGACTTGAAACTAATTTCAGTGTATTTCTTTAATAACCTCCTTGAACAAGGGCTGTAGCTCAGCAGCACAGTGCCTGCCTGGCACGTGCAAGACCCTGAGTTTGATTCCTGGTACCAAAAAAAAAAAAAAAAAAAAAAAAAGTCCTTTGTGAGAGAAGACAATACAGCATAATAAGGATTATTTGACAGAACCTGTTTTCAAGAACTAAGTAACTATAATCTGTTAAAACAAAAAAAGAGAAACCATTCTTAGACTCACAGTCCATCTCTAGCTACTCACTTTTTTTCTGCTCAACGAAGTAGCTGAAATTAAAGGTTATTCCAGTTCATCTTCAGTCCATCTTTCTTTGCTCACTGAAATCAGGTTCCTGTCCCCAATATGCCAGTGAACGTGGTAAATATTAGTAATTCCCTTGTTAAATCCAGTAGCTACTTTTGAGTACCTTACTTGGCTTCTTTATAATATCCTAAAAGTTTGATTATGCCCTCCTCTAAAGGAAAAGCAATACTTTTTCCCAAGTTTCCGTTACCCTCACTTCATATCCCTCTTCTTTGCTTTTCTTAAGTGTTTCTGTGCGATGTCTCACTCTACTACGTATACCTTAAATATTGCATGTTCCTGAGATTTCCCTCGAACATTCCCTTTTTATCCTGTATATGTGCTTCTTGAATTCCTTCATTCTCACCAAAAATGGAAAAGTTTCCTTTTCTCTACAGCCTCACCAGCTTTGGTCATTAACTAATTTCTTGGTGAGATCTATTCTTTTTGGAGTAAGCATTGTTTTAATTTGCATTTCTCAAATGGCCAGAGATACTGAACATTTTTTCATATATTTATTGGCCATTTACAATTCATCTACGAAGTGTCTATTCAATTCTGATGCCTAATATTGAGTTGCACCTTTAAATTTGGGATCATAACCTTTTTGTGTTATTTGGTTTGCTTAAAAAGTTAAGTGTAAGGTACAATTTAGGTATATATAACGATCACATTCATCATAGGGAATTTGTACGTATATATGGAATATCTTGATTCATCTGGGGGTTTTTTGGTCTCTCCCCCTCCTTTGTTTCCATTTCATCTTTCTTTCTTTTCCCGTCCTTCCTTCCCCCTCCCCCGTCATAGTTCACCTTTCCTTTTTAACAATTACACTTTTAGTTTCTCACATCAGAGAGACAATACAATATTTACACATGTATATCTAATTTATTTCATTTAAGAGTATGGTCTCAAAGTGTATCCATTTAGCAATAAGTGTCTCAAGTTTATCCTTCTTTATTGCTGAGAAGTACTCCACTGCATTTTTTTAAAAACCACATATTTTTTTATCTATTCATCAGTTGATGGCCAGTTGGGCTATTACAAATTGTGCTGCTGTAAACATGGGTGCACATATATTGCTGTGGTATGATGCTTTTATTTATTGATTTTTTTGGAACATACCAAGAAGGGGAATATCTGAGGCAAAAAAGACTTCTACTTTTAGTTTTTCGAGGAATCTCCACAATGATTTCTACAGTAGTTGCACCAGTCTACACTCCCTCCAACAATGAAGAAGCATTCCTTTTCCCCTACAGCCCCACCAGCATTTGTTATTGGTTGATTGCCTGAGGATAGCCATTCTTTCTAGAATGAGGTGGAATCACAGTATTGTCTTAATTTGCATTTCTTGAATGACCAATGATGCTGAACACTTTTTCATTATATTTGTTTGCCATTTATACTTCTTCTGAGAAATGTGTATTCATCTCCAATGCCTGTTTTTGGATTAGGTCTTTGAATTTAGGAGATCTAATTTCTTTCAATTTTTTACATGTTCTAGATATAAAACAAATATTAATGGACATGAAAAATCAAATAAGTATTAACACAGTCAGTTGTAATGGGGAAGCTTAATACCTCACTGTCACAAATAGGTACATCAACTATATAAAAAATTCAACAAAGAAACATCAGAACTGAACCAAACCTATGAACAAATGGACTTAATAGATGTCTACAGAGCATTCTACCCAACAACATCTGAACACATATCCTTCTCAGTTCCACACAGGACATTCTCCAAAACAGACCACATAGTAGCCCATAGAACATGCTTAACTAAATGCAAAAATGCTTTCCTTCATGAACTCTGTATCTGGTGATGAACAGAAACATAGCCATCTTTCCAGAATCTTGGAGTGAATTAAGCTTGTGAACCAAGGTACCACTGTACTTTAGATGATTAATTCAGTGCTTACTCTGAAAAGCAAAAACTTATAAAATGCCTAGCAGAAGATCTGATCCATAAGAACTCAAACAGTAATGGGTCCTACTATAATATTCTCTTTTTTTCTGTATTCCCGTCTCCCTAAGCTGTATTCACATTTTAGAGAAAGAGACTAAAGCTTAGGAAAGAAATCTGATTATCAGCTGGCTGATCTCTTGCTTCTAGTTTAAATCTGGGTCCCTACAGATAAGAAGTCAGCAAATTACTGCCTTGGGACCAACCGTGCCACTTTTATATACTCACTATATATACGACATAAATACATATGATACTACATACTATATATAGTAATACTTACTATACGGCCTTGCCATAGATTGTCAAGCTCTGGTTTTAGATGTTTCAACTTTTTTGTAAAACAACTGTCCAGAAAGTGGATTCCATAAAATGTTTAATAGTTCAGTTTTAATTTACTTGCTCAAACACTCTTCTCTTCAGGGATGAATATAAAATGAAAAGTTGGAGGCCCAATTTTCTTATACCAAGAAGAGAAGAGAAAAACAGTGCTAAAGGATCAGAAAGGTAGGAAAGCGGATGCATTTACATTACAGCTTCCCTGTTGTAATTTACAGCCGTACTTAACTAGCAGTATGACCTCAGACTGGTCATTAATTTTTATTTTTGGGTACCTCAGCTACAAAAGGAAGAACACTACCTACATCAGTGCAGTCAAAAAGAGAATCAGACAGACAGTAACAAATAGGAAGACAGAATTTGTAGACATGGGAAGAGGGTCTTGGGATGAGGGGAGATGGGAAGGGGAAGTAAACATCAAAATGCAGAAAGCGTATGTAGGATTCCCCATGGCAAACGTATGTGTAACACATACCAATAAAAACTGTTAAATGACAGTGACACAAAATTTCCCTCCTTCTATTCCTTCTCTTAGTGGATGGGGAATAAGAAAAACTTTCAAGTAGCCCTTAACAAATGAAAAACTTGTACTCTTCCTTTAGGCTGAAAGAAGTTTGCTCCTACTAGAAGTTAAATAAAACATTAGAATTTATATGAAATTTTGAGAAAAATAGAAACTAGGTATCACGCAGTAAGATTGATTTCACTAAAATACAATCCCAGTTAAGTGTTTAAAGCAAATGTTTTATCAGTTCAAGACTTTCCATTCACGTGATCTAAATTCCCAGCTGGCTTCTGGGCAGGGCATGTTTTTACTGACTAGATGCTTACCTAGTACTCTCTGCCCATCTTCACAGTGCTAGGGAGTGGGGCAAGAGCTTGCCTTTAACAAATATCTTGGGGAAATCCTTAGTATAGCCTTGAACACTGCAGTCTGTCTACTCTAGGAAATCTGTCTAGAAAGGTCTTACTGAGACACCCCAAAAGAAGTCAGGCAGTCAGAATCAAATTTAAACAGCATAAGATGGCCTTTCCCTTAAGTTTGTGTTTAGATTTGATGTGTTTTTCCAAAATGTATATACAGTGTAGAAAATCAGCCTTTTACCGTGAGCCTCATGCTTCCACATGTTTACAGCACAGCAAAACAAAATTACAACAGGGGAAGTATCAGTAACATGTTGACCTTTCTTCCTTAATAAACTTTTTAATATACTAATAGCCACAAATAAACCTTCTTGGAAAACAACTTTCTGAAAGTAGATATACAGGTTAGTTTTTAAAAGGAGGGTGGCAAAAATAAGACGGTATCTCAGACAAGAAGTGCTGATAATCAGAGACATAGCAGTGACTCATTAGATGTAGAATTCCCTTCTGAATAAAACCAGTAAGACTTGGCTACATTTCTCCTTTTGTCAATACATTAAACTGTTTCTCCTTTTGTCAATACATTAAACTGTTACACAGTAGAACCACACCCTGTGTGAACATCAGGAAGGAGGACAAAGGGGAGCCTCAGGCTTTCACGGCAAGTCTACCCTGTCATGTACTACTATTCTTGCATGTTCTTTGCAGTCTAGCTATGTTTTCTTAATTCTGTCTCCCAAGTCACTCAGGAAACAGGAGTTATTTGATTAAACCATGTAGACATGTGATTCCTTGATTATCCTTTCAAAGTAGGAAAACTAATATAAGCCCCTGTTTTTGATTTCACTAAACAATCTGAAAGTATGGGAAGATTTATAAATTTCCATATTTTTTAAAGAACTAGTTAATTATCAGTTGAGAGAAGTTTCTTGTTTAACTGATCTTTAATTTTTGACACAACTGTATAAACTTATGGGGGACTGTGTCATGTTTCAATACATGTATACAAAGTTAGGGCAGGGTAAATGGCATGTCCATCACCTCAAACATTCATCATTTACACTGGGAACACTTAAAAATCCTTTCTAGTAGCTATTTTAAAATACTTGATTAGTTGTTATCCACTATGCTGACTATGTTACAGAGCATTAAGTTATTCCTCTTACTCAACTGTACTTATACTTATTAACTTGAGTGTATTCCAAGTTATCTTGCTATCAAAAAAAATTTTAGGGTTGTAGTGGTAGAATACATGCTTAACGTGTGAAGCCCTGGGTTTGATGTTTGCATGCACACACACATACACACACACACACACACACACACACACACACACTTTATAAGACTTGGGGTGTAGCTCAGCAAAGGGCTTACCTAGCATACACAAGCACCAACATCATACACTCATATTCTATATATACATCTTTTAAACTGGCAGAGGAAATTGGCATTACTATTTTCCAGTTTTTTTGACAGTCAGTTATAATAGAGAGATGCATGCATGTGTTTACATATACATGTATTAAAGTATACATAAACAATAGATACAAGATTTTATATAGTCACACACAAAATTATACTTGAGTTTATCCTTAAAAAATGTATATTTGGAAATGTAAAAATTTTATTATAGTACACTTAACCCCATCTGTGTATTCCTTACCAGTTCTTTTCCTAGAAATTTCTTCAGAACCAACAAGCAAAACTACTTAGAAAAGAATAGAGTAAGAGAGGAAAAGCTTTTTAGACAACGATTCCAGGTATGTTCTCTTTTGAAGATATGTAAGGAATACTAATAGCTAACAAGTTCCATTTTAAAAGACCTTGTAAGTTCTCCATGCCCACACTTGTTTTTTTCTTGGTATATTTCTATACTGGCAATGCCTTTTTACATGCTGTCTTCATGGTTCTACTTAAAGGCTAACCACTGTGTCCTGGCTCTTCCATGTAGCTACCTCCCCAGCACATTTTATGTACCTACTGTCCACACCTTTTATAATACTCATCTGCTGTGTTACAGCATACATGTGCATACTAAATCATGAGCCTGCCTTAAATTTACTCTCCAGCTCCCAACATAAAGCTGGACACTTAGTATTTTAAACACATGACCAATGAGTGAAATAGCATCTAAAACTGACATCTTATGCTGTCATTAAGAGCCCGTGGAGCATTTTTCCATTACTCCAAAGTTCAAGTAGCCCTTGATTTCATATACATATTGTCAAAGTGAGGATTAAAAAGCAGATTTCAGTACTATCCATTCAGTACTATTCAGTACTATCCAATGTCTGTGCCAAACTGGTAAGTTTCTTGGAATGGCATATAAAACTGTTTGTGTTATGCTCTTTGCTTATCTTTCCAGTTTTGTCTTTCTGCCACTCCACCCTTATACCTTGTGCTCTAGCAACTGAGTCCTGCTCATATACATGTATTAAAATGTTGATAAAATAAACTACCTTGTCTTGCTGTTTCATTTCTCGTAAGTGTTTTCTTGGTCTCTTCTATCATGTATACACTTGCTTCTTTCTCCGATTTGTGTAAGACCCAGTTGAGGTATCTCCTCTTAAGAAGCCTTGCCTAAACTGCCTGATGAAAGAAATTACTCTTCTTTAATGTACTTTATACAATACTCTTTTGCTCACTGCAATTACGTGTTTATCATGTTAAAACTGTAAAGTCATGAAAAGTTGTCTTATTTATCTTTGTCACCTGCAAGTAAGACTAACACTTTGTAACTATCCAAAACTTTTGAACTCAACTGAAATAGTAATGTCCAATAAACTTCTCATAATCACCATAATTCTTATTGGGAGCAAAACTGATCAAGGTCACTGTATCTAGAATAATCCTGTGGTCTGAAACCACTTAAACTGTGATATTACTTAATTAGGTGAAAAACAATAATATAGCAATTACTCGTTGAGAAGACCCCTACATTGTACCTAGTGCTTTTTACCCTCATTTAATTTTTGATGGTTTTATATGAGGCAGAAATTCAACCCCCCCAAATATACACACAAATGTATGTGGAAGATGAATAATTGCCTTCCAATTTTATAAGGCATGTTTACTAAATGTTGCAGTAGTATATAGATAGTGCAGTTTATACACGGCAGTCATAAAAATACAAAAGGTGGTTAAAAGAGAATGCACACAAGCAGGAAAACATGAGCTAAGTCATGGCAGTAACAAAACTATATGGTGTATTTGAAGGATTATCACATTTCATGTTTCAATAAAGGGGAAAGGGATGGAAAGTTGGGGAATGACAGTATATGAATGTCAAGCTAAGAAATGTTACTCTTATTCCTAAAATGGAGACATTACAGAACTTTATAAACCGGAAGTTGAACTGATCTAATTTGCACCTGAAGAAACTTTTGTGGTTTTACATAATCAATGTCCTGAGGAAGGACAGCTATTAAGCGGTAGGATGGGTGGGGTAGGGGGAAGGTCTACCTTGTAGATTATACCTCTTGGTATTGTAAAATTGATCTTATAATTTATCATCCAAAATGAGAACACTTCAAGGAATGGAAGAATTTTTTTAAGCAATACTAGAAATTAAACCTGGGACTCTGTGCATGGAGGGCACATGCTTTCCCACTAAGCTACATCCCCAGCCCAGGAGGCACTCTTAATCATAAATATTTGGAAATGGAGACATTATTGTAAACACACTGTCATGACAAAGAGAGGTATTTGGTCACCCAAATTTGGTGAAACAGACACCTATAACCTACATATTCTTGATTGTTTTTTTCTGGTAAGCAGGTTTCAATACATCCAAAGGTTAAGGATGCAGGGGCAGCTAGTTTATCATATAGAAAAAAAAAATTTCTATAGAAATTGTATTACCAGTTTTTTCATAAATGCACCTTTGATTATAAATGAAGCTTTCTCACCTGTGAAGCATTATCACACAGACTCACTGGAAAAGTGGAGTGGACAGGTCTGCAGAGGAGGAGCTGGGCAGATCTGGGGTGCCCTCACTGGCCTCTCTGCGTGTCTGGAGGACTCTGGATTTCTGCGCCCAGACTGCTGGAGTTCCCTCAGGCTTCCAGGTGCAGTGAAGGAGAGAGGCGGGTTTAAGGCTTCCACATCAGCCTCCCCATTCCCGGCTTCATTTGGAGACCTGCTGAGCTACCGATAGGTGGGCTGGCCCACACTACCAGCCTAGCCCAGCCTGTTTAGCTGCCGCGCCTGGCCACAGGTCTGCAGAGGAGGAGCTGGGCAGATCTGGGGTGCCCTCACTGGCCTCTCTGCGTGTCTGGAGGACTGTGGATATCTCTGCAACCAGGGAGGGTCCACAGGTTCCTGAAGCACTGCGGCCTGTGGTGAGTACCCTAACCCGGCTGCGATTGAAGAACTGTGGAGCTTCCAAGGGGCAGGTGGGCGCACAGTGTCCCTGGGCCCAGCTTGTCTGGAACTGCGGAGTTCTGAGCAGGCAGAGGAGGGCCACTGGTTCTGTAGGCCTAATGGCTTGGAGTAGCGCGGCGCCAGAGTCCCAGTAGCTCCAAACATAGAAGGGGATTTTCAACAGATCCTGAGGAAGCTTTCAAGTAACACTTGAAACACAGAAATATAGGAAAATGACAAAACGAAAGACCAAATTACAACCTCAAAACTCCAGCCCATCTCAAGAAACCCTAGGAGCGATGTATATAGAAGAAAATATATCCCATCCACCTCATATATCGGACACAATAGCCACTGAAATTGACAAGCAACTCCAGGAAGCTTTAAAGAAATTCAAACTCGAAATAATCTCCCAGATAAAAGAAGAAATGATAAAAGAAATGAAAGAGATTCTAAATATATCTAAAGAAAACACAGATAAAAAATTGGAGGAACTAAACAAAAAGATAGAATCCCTAGACGAGCAATATAAGAAACAAACAGAATACATAATGCAGATGCACAGAGATATACAGGAAATAAAAAACTCCACTGAAAGTTGTAAAAACCGCCTTAATGAAAGTGAAGATAGAATTTCAGACCTTGAAGACAGGATTGCAGCTAGTGAACAGGAAAGGAAAGATCTTTTGAAAATAACAAGGAACCAGGAAACAACAATTCAACAACTGCAAGACGATGCAAAGAAGAATAACATAAGAATGATAGGGATTAATGAAAGAGAGGGAGACAACATGAAGGATGTCAGGAGGATATTTAGAGAAGTAATAGCTGAAAATTTCCCAAGCATGAGATCAGAAACTGACATCAGGATCAGTGAAGCATATAGAACTCCAAACAGTCATAACCAAAATAAAACTACACCCAGACATATAATAGTCACCATCCCAGAAATCCAACACAAGAATAGATTATTAAAAGCTGTCAGAGAGAAAAGACAAATCACTTATAAAGGAAAACCTATCAGAATCACAGCAGACTTCTCAGCACAAACGATAAAGTCAAGAAGAGCATGGAGTGAAGTATTCCAGATCCTAAAGCAAAATGATTTCCAACCAAGACTGATATATCCTGCAAAACTATCATTCAAAATAGATGGTGCAATACGATACTTCCATGACAAAGAACAGCTGAAGAACTTCATGAACACCAAACCAACCCTGCAAAAAATATTGAAAGACAGTTTAGATACACAAAGGAAAAAACCACTAAGCAAAGCAAATAATTAAACAGAACCGAAAGATAAAGATGCAACAGCAGAGAGATAACATTCCTACAATTAACCAGCATTTAACAGTAATAACCATTAATGTAAATGGTCTCAATGCACCAATCAAAAGAAACAGACTAGCAGAATGGATCAAGAAACAAAATCCAACCATATGCTGTTTACAGGAAACCCATCTAACCCAGAAAGATACTCACAGACTGAAAGTCAAAGGATGGAAAACAATTCTTCATGCAGCAGGAATCCAAAAAAAGGCAGGAGTAGCCATTCTGTTTGCAGACAACGTGAACTTTAAACCAACAATGACCATAAAGGACAAAGAAGGTCACTACATACTCGTAAGGGGAAAACTCCAAGAGGAAGAGATAACTATCTTAAATATATACGCACCAAACTCCAGAGCACCCAGTTATATAAAACAATTATTAACAGAAATGAAAACTCAAATTATCAGTAACACAATTGTAACAGGAGACCTTAATACACCACTGACACCAAGGGACAGATCAACCAGACAGAAAATGAGCAAAGAAATAACAGAACTGAATCACACCTGTGAACAAATGGGTTTGATAGACATATACAGAATGTTCCACCCAACAACATCAGAATACACATTCTTCTCAGCAGTACATGGATCATTTTCTAAAATAGACCATATATTAGCTCACAGAACATATTTAAGCAAATGCAAAAGAGTTGAAATCATCCCTTGCATATTATCAGATCATAGCGCTCTGAAATTAGAAATTAATGACAAAGGATACTGCAAAAATTCCGCAAACACATGGAAACTAAATAACACACTCTTGAGTAATCAGTGGGTCACAGAAGAAATTAAAGAAGAAATTAAACAATACCTAAAAGAAAATAAAATGCAGATACAACTTACTGGAATCTGTGGGATGCAATGAAAGCCGTTCTGAGAGGAAAATTTATTGCACTGAGTTCCCACATCAGGAAAACAGAACGAATACAAGTAAATAACTTGATGCTACACCTCAAACAGCTAGAAAAAGAAGAGCAAGTCAAGCCCAAAGCCAAAAGAAGAGAGGAAATTATAAGAATCAGAGCAGAAATCAATGCAATAGAGACTAAGAAAACAATCCAAAGAATCAACGAATCAAAGAGTTGGTTCTTTGAAAGAATAAATAAAATCGATAAGCCCCTAGCCAACCTTATTAAAAAAAGGAAAGAAAAAGCTCAAATTCATGCAATAAGAAATGAAAAAGGAGAAATCACTACAGACCCAATAGAAATACAGAGGATCATCAACACCTATTTCGAAAACCTCTACTCTCAAAAGTTTGATAACACAGAAGAAATAGACAGATTCTTAGAAGCATATGAAGTACCAAAGCTAGATCAAGAGGATATAAAACTGTTGAATAACCCAATCTCTGCTAATGAAATTGAGAATGTAATTGGGTCCTTGCCCACCAAGAAGAGCCCAGGCCCAGATGGATTCACTGCAGAATTCTACAAGAAATATAAAGAAGACCTAATGCCGACACTCCTCAAACTATTCAATGAAATTGAAAGGGAAGCAATCCTTCCTAAGTCATTCCTGGAAGCAAATATTACTCTAGTACCAAAACCTCAGAAAGACCCAACTATAAAAGAGAACTATAGACCGATCTCCCTAATGAACACAGATGCAAAAATCCTCAATAAAATATTGGCAAATAGGATCCAGCAAATCATCAAGAAGATTATACACCATGACCAGGTGGGATTCATCCCAGGAATGCAAGGATGGTTCAACATACGCAAATCAATAAATGTAATCCACCATATCAATAAAGCCAAAAATAAGAATCACATGATCATCTCTATAGATGCAGAAAAAGCCTTCGATAAGGTCCAACACTTATTCATGATAAGAACTTTACAGAAAATTGGAATAAATGGTCTTTACCTCAATATAATAAAGGCCATTTATGACAAACCAACAGCCAGCATCATACTAAATGGCCAAAAATTGAAAGCCTTTACTTTAAAATCGGGTACAAGACAAGGATGTCCTTTATCACCACTCCTATTTAATATAGTACTGGAAGTACTAGCCAGAGCAATTAGGCAAGAAAGAGAAATAAAAGGGGTAAAGATAGGAAAAGAAGAAGTTAAATTATCATTGTTTGCAGATGACATGATACTCTACATAGAAGACCCCCTAAGCTCCATTGAAATACTCTTAGATACAATAAATAAATTCAGTAATGTGGCTGGATACAAAATCAATACTCAGAAATCAATAGCATTCCTATACACGAACAACAAAATTACAGAGAGGGAAATAAGAGAAACTGGACTATTCACATTAGCAAGCAAAAAAATGAAATATTTAGGAATTACTCTTACGAAAGAAGTGAAAGACTTATACAGTGAAAATTATAATACACTGAAAAAGGAAATTGAAGATGATCTCAGAAAATGGAAAGACATCCCTTGCTCATGGATAGGAAGAACAAACATTGTGAAAATGGCCATTCTCCCAAAACTGTTATACAGATTCAATGCAATCCCAATAGAAATACCATCAACATACCTTATAGTTCTAGAGAAATCACTCCTAAATTTCATCTGGAACCAGAAGAGACCTAGAATCGCAAAGGCAATTCTAAGCAGCAAAGACAAAGCAGGAGGCATCACAATCCCTGACTTGAAGTTATACTACAAAGCAACAGGAGTAAAATCAACATGGTATTGGAATCAAAACAGAGCTGAAGATCAGTGGAATAGATTAGAAGATACAACCACAACTACGAACACACTCAACCACCTTATTTTTGATAAAGGAGCCAAGCAGGTTCACTGGAAGAACGACAGTCTCTTTAATAAATGGTGCTGGAAAAACTGGCTCTCCATTTGCCGAAAACTAAAGCTAGACCCATGTCTATCACCATGTACTAAATTAAAATGTAAATGGGTCAAAGATCTGAATATTAAAACAGAAACACTAAATCTATTGGAAGACAAAATAGGTAGAAACCTTGGAGACATAGGAGTAGGTAAAGAATTCATGAACAGGACTCAAACCGCACAGGAAATACTTCCCAGAATCAATAACTGGGACCACTTCTTATTAAAAAGTTTCTGCATGTCAAAAGAAATCTCCAGCATAGTGAAAAGAAAACCCACAAACTGGGAAAAGATTTTAGTGAACTCTCTCTCAGACAAGGGCCTCTTGTCTAAAACGTATAAAGAATTAAAGAAACTCAGACCTCCGAAATTCAAAGATCCAATCCAAAAATGGGCATCTGAGATGAATATGCAATTCTCAGATGAAGAAATGCAAATGGCAAATAAATACATGAAAAAATGCTCATCATCATTGGTCATTAGAGAAATGCAAATTAAAACCACACTGAGATACCATCTCACTCCTGAAAGAATGGCCAGGATCAAGAAAACCGACAACAAATGCTGGAGAGGCTGTGGGGAAAAAGGAACTCTCCTGCACTGCTGGTGGGAGTGTAGACTGGTACAGCCTTTGTGGAGATCTGTCTGGAGATTTCTCAAAAAGTTGGGACTGGAAATCCCATTTATTCCAGCTATTCCACTTCTAGGCATATTCCCAGAAGAACTGAAAGCATCATACCACATTGATATATGTGCACCTATGTTTATAGCAGCACAATTTATAATCGCCAGATCTTGGAAACAACCCAAGTGCCCATCAACTGAGGAATGGATAAAAAAGTTGTGGTATTTCTATACAATGGAGTATTATTCAGCTATAAAGAAGGATCACATTGAGATATTTATCAATAAATGGGCACAGCTTGAGACCATACTCATAAGTGAAATAAATCAATCTCACATGTGTGAATACCGAATAGTTTCCCTAACGTAAGTAATGATTCAAATATATAAAAATATGTGGTAATCATGATTCCCCATTAGGTGGCCTTGAAGCCTTATAAAGTTTTCACTCATTAATTAGAAAGGCTTTATTCTGGGCTTCTTGATATGAAAATATTTGAAGCTAGAGTATATGAAGTTTTACCCAAATATTTCAAGGAAAAAGACACTATGGTAACTACTATTAAGTCAGGTTATAAGGTGGTGAAGTACTAGGTTATTGAAACAGTCATGCTGTGACCTCTATTGTTATATTGTTATGTCCTGTTTTATCTCAATCTCCCCCTTGTTTCAAAAAAAATTATTTATTCATTTCTTATGTTTGTCTTAATTAAAGAAAAAATTCAAAAAAATTAGGATATATAAATAGTAACTCTTTTCGATTTCCTATTAACTTGTTTTGAAGTCCTGTAGTACTCCCACGATCTTGTTTTGACTGATTAGACTCTGTTCCATTCTATATGATAGTATCAAGTTTGAAGACATAGGCAACTACTTTGAAGACAATAAGATTCACTAAGATACCCATTCTGGTTTGACTATTGTCTTCTTTGGAAGTCCTGTAATGTTTACAACGCCTAAGTTTTATTGGTCTTGTTCTCTACTGTTTTTTCCAACTTTATAATATCTAATAAGATAGACAATTCTTTTTAAGGAAACAAGGGACAACGTTGATAACCATTGTTGATAAACTTGTACTCTGTTCTACACCATGTGCTACGTCTATCCTTGGTATTGACTGACAGCTTTGTTTTGCCATATTTGACTGTATTCTTCCCCCCCCCCCCAAAGAAAGTAATAAGCACTAAGGAGTAATAAAATCCAAGATGTGTAAATTTTGTTGTAAAAAAGAGAGGGAAAAAAAAAAAAAAAGAAAAGGAGCTCTAACGGATATAACAGCAAGTGTGTTTGGGGGTGTTAAATAGCTGACTTTATCAATGTTTTTGGAACATTGAACACAGCTGTTTGCAGTCTCCCTGTTTGAATGTCCACCTTGTGTTCTTTGATACTGTGATTTGAGGAACTATTTTCAAGAAAATAGTGTGTAATCTACTAGCAGGTAATTTCTTACCGTTATGGTTTTTTGTTTTGTTTTGTTTTGTTTTGTTTTGTAGTTCTGTATTGCGTGTACCCTTACGCCGCTTTGGTTTGTTTTGTGTTTTTCTCTTTTTCCTCTTAAATAGAAAAAAAAAAAAAAAAAAAAAAAAAAAGAAAAGTGGAGTGACCCCTCTGCACGCAATAGGCATCTGAACACTATAAGGAGCTAACAAGGAGGGCTTATTTAACTTTCTTTTCTAAGCTCAAACTTTATTACTGTAAGAATCAACACACTGTCCACCATACTGAATTTATACCCATTGCTGTAGCTTTCATTATCCACCAGGATTCACTTTAGCACCATTAGAAAATGGATGTGAAAATGTTTTGAAAGTATAATCATACAAACATTACTACAGAATCTTATTTTCTTAAATGACTTTCTTTTGTGTACCTGCCTGTTATTCCGTCTTCCCTCAGGTGTTGCTATGGGTTTTTCTGAGGTTGCTATGATATTCTCCACTGCTTTTTTATAGGGAGAAATAACTACCATGTAAGTATAACCTGACTAGTAATTTCTCATTTCAGTATGACAAAGAAATTACTGTCATCAACAGAGCAGTGGTATGTTCCAATGATTCAAGAAATGGAATATTCGATTTGCCAATAACTGCTGGGGAAGAACTGGAAGTCATTGATACCACTGAACAAAATCTAGTGATATGTCGCAATTCAAAAGGCAAATGTAGGCAAATATTGACTTATTAACCATGAAATTTCTTAGAAAATTTTAAAGCATTTTCTTTAAACTTCAGATTAACAGTATTTTTGTTCCTATAGATGGATACGTACTCATTGAACATCTAGACTTCAAGTAAGTGGTTTGATTTTATCTTAAATCATGAGTTCTAAATACATAATAGATGTTGTATGCATTAGTCTCAAGGGAAAACTACCTACCTTACTGAAACTTAGGAAAAGTCAGTTAGGTATGAAAGGCCCTATCTGTCCTTTAAGGATTACCTGGAGGAGATGTCTTTACTGTGCCTCTTCAGTTTCTTATACCAAGCATATTTTAAACACCTGAAAAGAGCATGAAAATAATAAACTGGATAAGAAATTTCCCAGAACTTTCCTCACTGTGGCCTTGGCAGTTTCAGTGTTTGTGATCTTCCCCGCAGGCACCAAGGATGATCCCCCAGACGGTCCTGATCAGCTGGAAGGCCTGCAAGAGTGATGAGCGAGTCTAGGATCTGATCCTGCCTTGCAGCAATTTACTCAAAATGAGACGGACTCTCTGGAAATTTGGGGAATGCAGAAGAGAAAAATGAACACAAAACCTCAACATTTAGCATTGGTTTTACTCCTAAAAGTCTGTCTTCCAATGTCTGTTTCACTTCTGGTTCAGGAGAACGTGAAGCAGCCTGCGTTCATCCTGGAGCACTTATTTTTGAGCTGTATCTAAACCAGCAGTCGTGCCTTATGGTACTTACTCAGCTGTGCAGATGGCTGATTTGCTTCAACAATAATTTCTAATTCTGGTGATGCGCACCAGAATTATATTTGGTGTAATTCTGAACAGTGAATGTAGCCAAGGTCTGTAAATGCCCAATTTAAAGTGCAGTCTTAAAATAATTATGGCTTAGTCTTCAATATTTTAAAAAGTATACGTGTCCTTTTTGCTTTATCACAAAAACAAAATTGGATAAATGCTGTTCAAAATTGGTTTTCTTTGGGAATAGTGTGCTAAAAAATAACTTATTCCTAAATTCAACCAGTTTAAGAAATGTCTAAAAACATTTAACAATATCCAATACACACATACACACTCTGTATTACTTTAAAGCATCTTAGTGCCTAAAATAAAAAAAAATTATTTTATGTTCAAAACCCTATTTAAATACAATTTATATGTGTTTTCATTTCATGGGAAGTAAATACAAATTAAAAAGCAGCGCTGAAACACACTGTACTTTTAAGTGCTATACACTGCATGTCAATGAGATTAAATTCTACATACGCATCCAACTTTTTAAATTGTAGTTTTATTGGAACTGAAAAACTGAAGAACTGCATTAAGTTCCGTAAGCAGGGTGACTCTCGCCTTAAAAGGTACTGTATAATGGAATTTGTTTCATAACTTCATCCTTTATAACCTGAGACTATTTTTAAAGCTTCTATATTGTTGTCTTTTCTTCTGCATGTTCCAAATGGCACTTGCCAATAAAAGAAAGGCTAATCTAAAAGACAGAATTAAAAGTATTCAGAGAGTGCAGAAAAGAGGTAGAGGGATTACAAATCTCTTACAAAGTTATGAATGAAACAACCACAAGGTAACAAAGGTGTTACAGAGCAGCTTAGTTTTGAAGACACAGAAGGCAAATCCAGGCTCTTCCTAGGGACAGAAGAGATTCAAGGCAAACGGAGTGCAGTAAATCTGCTGGAAAACAGGGTGTCACGATGGGATGGCACAGGGTGTGCTTGGACTTTTTCTTCTAGCATGGAAAGCCACTCAAGTGTTAGGGAGGAAAGAAATGCCAGCTATTTGGGAAGTGGAGAGACAATCGCAGCAATAAGGATAATGGATTAAGAGACTACTGTTTTTCAATATTCTCAGCAAAAGACCTTAACTAAAGACAGCAACGAGAGACATACATACTACAGGAACCCCAGGAGAAATAAAGGAAGCATCATGTATTGATAAGGTAAGTAAGGAAAAGAATTAGGGAAGTGAGACTAAAGCTAGTGCCCAATACTGGGAATTTATTTCTGCTTGGAAGCCCTAAATTAAATTTGCCCCATAGCAGGCAATGACATGATTCTTTCCAGCTCACAGCCTGTTACAGCAGGCACTAACAGAAGTATAACCTAGGGCAGTGATAAGAGCACCCACGTGGCAGCGGGCTGCATGATAACACTGTAAGCTCTCAAAACATTCACCATCACTGCCTAGGAGGAAGGAAGTAAGACAGACAGGCCATGTTCAACAGCAACTTTTCACACAATAATCCTGTCCAAAGAGAAACATTAAACTATATAGCACTCTTGCCACTTGTCTTAATTTCTTTCTCAGAGCTAGGACAAAAATAGCTAACAACCACAACTTAAGCCAGAGGTTTATTTTGGTTCCATCTTTTACAGGAATTCAGTCCATAAATGGTTGACTCTAGGGCAAGCAGGAGATGAAAAGGGGGTCTGGTGGAAGAATGCTGCTCACTTCATGGTGGCCAGGAAGCGAAGAAGGGAGACACATCCTTCCGGGGCACTCCCATGACCTGCCTCTAAGCAGGGGCCCCTCCAAACAGCAAGCCAGTTACAGTGTCCCATCTCTGAACACACAAGGTTTCTGTGGGACCTTCTAGACCTACACCATAAGAGCACTTCAAACAATAAAGCATTTAAATTCTAAGTAGCACTGTGACTAAACTGAACAGAAACAGTTTTGATCCATGCCCTTTCACACACCATAGAGCCTCTGTTCTAACTCAATGACTTAGTTTTTTGGGTCTCAACTATTTTAGAACAATCAAGCTAAAAGTACTTATCTGTGTGACAGCATTGTTGTCACGCTGTAATAATGTGTTCTCAAATACTTAATACACAATACTATGTGTAGGGCTATGCCTGGCCTTTTCTGAAGTTTGGAAGATGCTGAAAATGAAAAGGATATTTTAAAAATTCAGTATCTTAAAAGAATGGTTGGTATATAATTTATTTTACATAGAAACAGAAAAATGTTTTTTAAATCAAATGATTTTACAGTATAATCCATTTGGATTATACAAACTGTTGCTAATTATGCCTATGATATAGGTTTTCAGAGAAACAAGTGCTTCTATCTGCATATCCACACTTAATGTGGTAATGGTTCTAGTTCACTAATACCCAGCCACATTCCTGAAATCAAAGGATTCAAATTAAATGTTATTGATGGTTTCAGATGTAAACACTGTTAAGACTTCAGTGATGCCCAAGTCAGTCTGTCTCTGAGAAAACAATGTAGCACAAATATCCAATCAAGAGACCTTTTGCTTTAGTTTTATATTAGAAGGTAGCACCCAAAGGCTCTTAACCCTAACAGAGGCTACACTGGCCCACTCAAAAGTTAATGCATAAGTGTGTAGCTTTCTGTCACTGGTCAAATACCTGAAATAAGCAATTTGGGGGGAAAGGCCTGCTTTGTCTCTCACAATTTCAGACACTTCAGTCCATGGGTGCTTGGCGCTACTGCTCCTGATTCTATGGACAGGCAGCACGTCCAGGGGCAGTGCAATGTAGAGGAAGCTGCTCAGCTCCTGACAGCCAGCAAAGAGGCACAGAAAGCCAGGAAGACACAGGGTCCTTCCTTTCATGAGGCCCTACCAGCTAAAGAGCTACAGGTGCCCAAGATCACACCTAGGGGTGTTAGGGGTAAGAGCCAAAAGGTTACAATGGGCAGCAGCAAAGCCCTGCCTTCCACTTCTGAATACCTCTGAGAAGCATTCCAATATGTCTTCTAAGATGACATAGCATCCTTCTAAGTGATCGCTACGGTTGACATTTTTTTCCTACAATACACATCCAGTACTCAAGAAATTCAGGAAAAGACTTTCAGTAAACAAATTTTTCTCCCTAAAGTTTAGGAAAAGCAAATTGAAATCTTGTATATCGTCTGAAGTTTATACTTTACTTTTCACAGAAAATATCTTTCAAAAAATTGATTTTAGATAACATAAACATGGCAGGTGGCAAATTTAAAGTACCTAGTTCACACCTACATTCTTTTCTAGTCTTAGCTGCCATTAGTGTCAACTAACTTTAGTCTGAAGCGACCTGAGCCTTTGGCTCCCTAATTAATGAGCTGGATCCCTGTGATCTCTATTTCCTGGTGTTTTATATCTGTGAATATGTGATGTGATTTTGCAAAAGGGGTTTTATATATGGAATTTAAGTTGTTAACCTATTGACCTTAAAGTGGGTAGATACCTGACAGTATGGTGGGCCAAACTTTATCAAATGGACCCTTAAAACTAGAACAGCAAGACAAAAAGAGTTAGTCGCTGGAGAGCCAGAGAAACGGTGCCAGAAGTAGGAGAAACCCCAAGTATCAACCGCATTGCCAGCTTTGAAGATAAAGGAAGTCACGGGACACAGAATGCCAGTGGTTCCTTGAAGCTGTAACACCTAGCCCACACCAAGAAAGAAAACAGGGTCCTACTGTGCTATCCAATGAAATTCTGCCAGCAACCTGACAAACCTGGAAGCAAAGATTCCAGTGGAGCCCAGCTCCAATCCATCTTTAGTTTTCAACCTGTGAGACTTGAAGCAGAAAAAACAACTAAGTCACTGGATTTCTGACTAGGAGATTATAAATTTGTGTTAAGCCCTAAAGTTTTTAGTAGCGTGTTATAGCAACAACAGAAAACTCACACATGCTGAGGTTAAAAATATAGTATAAAAATGAACAAAGATGGTGTGAAATCTCTAATCATACACAATCTTTTAGTAACACAGCTTTGGGTAACTATTAGCTGACGTGAAGGTGTAGGATATTAGCTTAATAACAGAAGAAACAAAAACAATTTTCAAGTTAACCAGACTTTAATTTGATTTTGTGAAAAAAGCGTATAAGCAATCAGCTAGGCCTTTTTCATTTGTGTGGCTGCCTATGAGTTCCACAGAGAGAACCTGTAATGTGAAATCCTATGTAATTTGAGAAGACATATTTTTCACATGGTTACTGGAAGACAATCCTTCCCACTGATCATTTAACAAACACAAAAAGCACGTAACAAACAAAACTGAAATTTGAGTCTATGGTTATCAAAAGAGAAAGCACTAGAAACCTGTTGCTTTTCTCCCTGAAACAAGGGATCCCAATTTTCAATAGTTGAAACATTTTAAAATATAGTCCAGTGCTCCAATGTGATAATGTATCAACCTATGGTTTTTGTTTTTCCCCACCAGAAACAGACCAAAATAGGATGCATGATGATCTTGGGAAAAAAGTGAATAATTACCATGCAATCATACATTATCTTACGATTGTCACAGATATAACCTATAGTGGTCAACTTTCAGTTTTATTTGTCACACTCAAAATTCACCATATAGTATTTGAGCATATGTGATAAAAGAACACAACCATTCTTCCTAAAACAATAGCAAGATACTATTATTTGAGTTTGTAGCTCTATAACAACTTCACATTTAAACACTCAAAACAGTGTACAACCATAGATGATTGTGAATAGCCTTGACAGCTGTTATTTTGGTACATTAAGGCAGCTTCAGCCAACATTTTAAACAGTTCTGAACATTTGGTAAAACAAAGGACAAGTTAATATTTGAACAGTTGATGTTTTCAAAAAATTTTAAGTATCTAAAAAAAAAAAAAAAAACCCACCAGAATTTGTGAAATTGGTCTTAAACATTCTTAGCACTATTTTCTTACCACATAAAACTCACCTAAAAGTCAAGATACTCATCCTATCAGTATCAAAGATATCTATTTTTTTTAAAAAAAGATACACATTAAATAGGGGCTATAAACCTTGTACTTAAACAAGGATCTTCCATTTCTCATCCATACCCATGAGGTAGGTTATTATCCACATTTTGTACATGAGAAAACTGAATGAGGTTACATGACTTGTGCTGCTACAGTGGTCAAAGGAATCAAATTCCAATTAGGTTTTATCCTTAGCTCTGCATTAAGTCTTTGCTTTTCAAACTTTTCAAATATGGATTACTATCATTGCATTCCTTTAAAAGCATGAAAAGGCAGCCAAATATTTACCAAGGTGATTTGTGTGAAACATACAAGAAATAGAAAATACAATTAGTCAACAACTTTCAGCTGTGACAGTGTGAGGTTTGGCCAAAATAACTTGCAACCAAACAGCTAGAACCAACATGATTAGCTGTGAAGAGAAAATCTAAGGGAAAATGAAAAGGAATGGGGGGGCGGGGCGGAGGCTAAGCAACTTTCTTATAATTTAAGAGAGAAGGCACAATTTAGTGGGGTTGTTTTTAGAACAGTAGACCTGTTTCTCTTTAAGAAAATGCTACCTTTCTAAATGGTTTTCAGTTAAAAAAATGGTTTTCAGTAAAAAAAAAAAAAAGGAACTTTTTACTGACAAATGTATGTTTAGCAGAAAAAAATTATGCAATTCTCCTTGCCTACAATTTTGTTGTTCCTTAAAAATTTACAGTAAATTTTGAATTTAAAAAAAATCACACTATAAATCTTGTCAAAACTACATATATTCAAAATGTTTTCATCCCAGAATATTCTACAAATACCTTTTTCCTAGAAAGAATGCTCTCCTCTAGGAGTCCCTTAATTGCACTTTAATTATTAAAATTTACCCAGCCTACTTGTCCAAATAATCATAAGCTACGTCCCTAAAATCTAAACTGCTTTAAATATAAACCACCATCACTAAAAGTCAGGCTACAAACTGGCACTGTACACGTGGATGGTAGTAACATTAACACTGGCTCACAAAATTCACATAGGCCCACAGTCAGAGAAGGTCTAGATTCATCCTGATTCTTACCAGGCTATAGCTGAAGAAATTTAATTAAAAATTAATCCGTTCTGATGATGGGTCCTATCCTTCATGCCATTACTGTTCAGCAGCACCAAATACATCATAATTCTATGTGGGAAAAGCCAGTAAGGATGTCAACAACTTGTCACATGTTTATAAAAATTTCAGAGTTCATCAGGTTAAGTTCCATTTCAAAGTTTAAGGTTTAGGAGAATCTTTATCAAACCAATAATAACCAGGTACTTCATAAAAATAAATATACTCTACGAAGTGTTATATTATCCAACATGCATATAAAATTACCAATCTGTATATGAAATTTAGATAGGCCTAATTTTCAGGTAACAGTCAAAAAGAAAAGAAAAGAAAAAAAAAAAAAAAAACCAATCCAGTAATTTAGATAAAGATTTAGGCTAATTTTTCTCTGTTAAGAGATTGTGCTGTAGGAATCACATAAATAAAATTTTAGCACAAATTATGCCCTAAAGCTTCTTTAGTATTTTTAAGCACCTTCAATAACTTAGAAGTACTTACAAAAAAAATTAACATGCTAATCATAAATACTTCAGATAACTACATCTACTTATTACAATTAACTAGTTCATATCATTAAACTAGGAACTATTTAGTTTACACTACTTTATGCCAAAGACTTCAAAGCAGTTCATCTGTGTCTGACTGACTTCAGACTGCAGCACCCTGCGAGAAAGGCAGTGCCCCCTGAAGAGCGCCCTGGCTACTGCACAGCTAGCTGTAAGGTGTCAGGCTTCATCCAGAGCTCCTGGTGCTGTCTCCTCATCAGCAAAGTACTAAACTGTACTTTTCTGGTTATCTCGGCAGGTTACTTTAAACTAACTGAGAAAGTGGGTCCCTAAATCTAAACATCAATATAGAAACGTGTGGAACACTTTCAGGACTATAATTATCTTGTGCCTTAAGCCAAGTCATCATATTTTAACAAGTCTGGTTTCTGTATGATTTTTTTGTCATTTGTATTCCAGAGGGCAGTTGCAAGTACAAAAATATTCAAGTATGCATCATCAAAATGCCTCACTGCACCAAAACAACATTCATGCTAGTATAAAAACTCTAAATACATAAAAAGTGAACATTAACATATACCACATGCAAAGGTAGAAAAGGCAAAAATTTTAAAGCTCAGAGGTACCTTAGAGGTGTTTTACTCTATCCCTCCCATTTTAGGGTCACAGAAATGAGGCCCAACATAGGATATGACTTAGCAGATTGCACATACCCCATACAGCATTAATCACAGAGTCTGAAAATTATGATTCAAGTCACATTCCCCACTTAAAAAGCCATGGGGTGACAAGAGGACAAGATAAATGACAGATTTCAGTGTGTAAAACAGACAACACTATAACATATCTAGCATTGAGACATTCATCTTACTGCTATTATTGGGATTTAAATTATTAGCCAGTGAATAGACAAAGATGCAGTATCTTGGGTAGGCATGTCCTAAGCTTTTGTAACTTAAAAAGAGGTTTAATGCCTACATTAACTCAGTGTACTGCACATTAATAGATGTTACAGATAAAGTTGTCCCCAAATTTGTAGTGATTAGGATTACTTTCTAAATTCTCAATCCTAAAAATTAATTTGTATTCCCTAAGTACAAATTGGCTACAGAATAACAGAATGCATTTGTAACCATTTTTGAAAGTATTTGGTAAAACTGGACAACTCTCTGTATTATAAATCACCAGCTCCTTGACACAGAAAAACTTATTTCAAAGACTCCTGGATTCTCTTTACTGGTGGCTATTATTAATGCAAACATCAGAGTTTACAAAAATGTCTCTTAAAAGTTCCATTGATTACAACAAAAAATTGTAAATGGTTCACCTCCCTTTTTCCCTGAATATTTGAGACAGTCTCTCCCTAAATTAAAAGACAAGAATCAGGATTAAATATGGCACTCTACACAAAAGTGTTCAGATGTGCACTGACTACACATTTTAAAAGAATCAGTCATAATGGCTCATGGTTTAACCATTTCTTCGTCTTTTCTTCACAAGTAATCTTGTTTAACAGTTTTCAGTCATCCTCTGACACAAGAAAGAAATCTTGCTCCGAAACAATACTACAACCTGACTGAGAAAACTAGTGTTTTACAAAACAACTTTCAGACAAAAAGTTCTTAGTCCTGAATTCATTTTACATGTCTACGAGTTAAAAGAGAAGATTTTGAATCTGACCAGGTTCTCTCCAACAACCAATAAGGGAAAAGGCAGCACTGTCTTAATCTCATTCTTAACTACCCTAATTATGATAACCTTGTACAATAACTTTCCTAAAAAAGCATTTTCTAAACTTTTTTCTCATAAGTTTTTAAAATAGTAAATTAATTTGGGAAAAGCAGGATTATACAAAATTATGTGGGTTTTTTGTTTTTGTTTTTGTTTTTAACATGAAAGGATTTGCCAAAGTCTTGAACATTACTCTCGCTGTCATCCTAAGGGGGAAAATAGGATTATTTCCAAACTTACTCCATGAAATCTATTTGAGAAATGCTGTCCTAGAACCAAACGGAGTCCATCTGCATGGTCCAGATAAGAACAGATCTGTAATACAAGAGCAGCCATCAACATGGATGCTCTCCCCAGTCTCTGAGCTGGAAGACAGTCCTCTCCATCCAGGCCTACGGCCTGTGGTTACCAGTATATTCTTTCCTTCTCTGTGCCCATGAGGAACAAAAAGCCTGTTTATGATAATGTTCTAGTCTTTATTATGCTAGACTCAGTCTCCTGAAACTTGTTCAAACCAACTTATTATACCACCTTAAATACACAGAAAAGGTATGTTTTAAAATGTTACCCAGAAAAGACAAAACTATGACCCTCAGATCCCTAAAATTTAACAAAAAAGGAACTATCAAACTGTGTCAGTGCTCAAAAACACTGGCAAGAATAAGAAAATAGCAAATATATTTTAAACTCTCAATAAACACCATAATGTCTAAAAAAATTCCAATCATCTGATTTACTAGATTAATAACACTATTATGTTGCAGACTCCTGCTTCTTTTCTGTCTACAAAAATTGCTTTGGATTTTTCAATGCAAAGAACTTGGTTAGTTCCTTATTTCTAAAGTTATCCCATTCATCTGGGAAAATATATGAGATGGTCTTGTTTTTCCCAAAAGAGATATGTACACATTGGAGAAGCCAACATTATGCTACACATACAATACACAGCTGATTTTAACAGCAGTTACTTATCTTACCCAAATTAATTACTAAACAAAATTTCCCTCTCTGGCCACAAGATGGCAATCTTTCAAAAGTTAAACCTTTTAAACTGTCATCTCAAAGCACCTCTAAATTCATGAAGATTTTTACTTTGATATTAAGAAACTAGGTTTAGAATATTGAATGCCACATTTTCAGGGATCTATATGCAAACTCCTGACTCCAATGACCTTTAAAGATAGACATACTTATCTCCCATAAACACGAGAAAATGTTTGTCTAACATTCTCATTTGTTTCTTTGTAGAAAATACATTATTTTTGGCTAAGAGAAACCTGTCAAGGCAATGTCATTCTTTTGTTTTCAAGAGCTTAATATTTTATAGGGTGAGTCCGGTGAATGAGATTGTTAATTACAACATAAATACAATAAATGAATAAATACAAATTAGATAAATTACATATAATTTAAACATTAACTATAATCAATAAGCTATTGCCTACCCTGATATATATATATAGTATGGGTGTTTTCAATCTTTAAAAAAAAACCTTGTGCAGAGCAAAACAAAACAATGTGTTTTTGGATTAAAAGCACTGTGTATGAATATATACATGTATATAAGTAAATATATTTATTTATTCAAGAGAGAATATTTTTAAATGTTTAAGGCGTCCTCACCCTATCAGGATCAAGTGAAGGTCATAGGCTATCCAGCGCTGGAAATTTAAGTCTTTAGGGCCAAACCATGTTTTCAAACTGAATGGCGAGCAACTGAGAAAAGGGAACCAAAAGGGAATCAAAAGCTTAGGTAATCAGCCAAGTGAAGTTCCATGAGCAAAGATAAGATCACAGGCAAAGGGGGGAGGGAGGAGCTGGCATGTACAATTTAAATTTCAAATGAAGAATTAGCATTGCAAAATGAACTGGACTCTAACTTTCTAATCCTCTCTCACAACATACACACAAAAGATCAAAGATAAGAGTGCCCTTTTAAAGGACTCGGTGATGTATCTAGGTGTTTCACTTAACTGTCTTGGTAATGTGCAAAAATAAGTCATGAAGAGAATTTGAAAAACATAGGTCTTGAATATGTTTTTAAATTATGTAAGGTTAAGAAAAAAAACCCAAAGTGTTGCAATACCAGATGTTTCAATACTAACCAGAACCTTTAAGGTTCTTAAGAGAGACAATGTTATTCTGGGAAATCGCTGGATAAAATCTCAAGATAAATTTTGGGTACCTGTTACAGGACCACAGTCTTTCTGATGAATAGTAAGCAGTATCTGCAAACTCTTTTAGAAGAACTTGATCTCTAAAACAGGATACTGTTTTAAAATTTCACCATTTAAATAATATCTTACTAATAACTACTTTGTCTTTTTTAATCTTCTTGAGTCCAAAACTGCAAGCAAAATCACAGCTTAAAACCTGCTGAGATTTAGGAAGTTTGGATCTTCCTGGACTAAGTAGTGGAACAAGAAAGTGCTAGATTAGCTGATTCAACAGTGAGGTGTGCTCATCATCTGTAGTGAATTCACACTGGTAAATAAACAATCTTCATCCACATCCACCCACTAAAAACACTGCCGCCTATGTGAGTTTATGAGAGGCACAACAAAATGAGAGCTCTAAATTAAATGTCAGGCTTTTTGTTTTAGCAGTTTCAATGGTACTGCATTTCTCCTGGTAATTCATCTCTCTCAATATTGCGGAGTATGGGGCCTGGGATACAGCTCAGCGGCACAGCGTCTACCTTATAAGCACGATGTCCTGAGTTTGATTCCCGGTCAAAAAAAAAAAAGAGAAAATTTTTTGCAGAGTATGTGATATCTGAAAAGTAATAATTTAAAGAATATATCTTATTTTCACAGTGCAGTAACAGAAAGAAAGAACCAAGGACAGGTCATCAACGGGCTAAAGTAGTGATGAGACTGGCACACATCTCAAAGAAATCCATGGTGTGACTGCCCAGACGAGGGGACACCGAAGACACTGTGCTTCCAGTCAAGGAGCCAGTGAGAGAACCAGAGAGTGAATGGCTCTCCGCAGTCATAGAATCAAAACTCGATCTCGGTCTGTGCAAACCGGCTGCAGAACAGGAACGCTGAGGCGTCGAGGAACCAGACCTCTGCTCCACCACCTCATCTGGAATGGACCAAAGAAGAGCAACTTATATGAGAGGCATACCTGCCCAAGCCCTACCTATGAAGTTGCCACAGTCAGAATATTAAGTAAACACATCTAAACAAGGTCAACTTAGTCATGAATGTCATACTTCAGCCTTTCAGCAGCAGTGGGGGCAGGAACTCCACCCTCTGACAACTTTAAAAGGCGTTACTATCACTTACAATACTCCCATGCAACCAGATGTGGCCCCCAAATGCTCAACAAAGTATGAGTGCTATCCCTGCACAAGAAAAAGTGTATCACAGCAACTTGCTTTCTCCTACACATCAAACAAAAGTTGAAATCATTTCACTTACAGTTTGGTTAAGTGTAGACCACTTAATAATCAGTGAAGAAGACATATCCACTATGTCTTCGAGATGGTTTTACCTGGTCAACTAGTGCCAAATTTTATCTTCTCAGAGCTCATGGCTGCATAACTTCCTTACCATCAATGCTTTTAAAATCCAAAAGATAACTCCTATTGTCAACCAGGTAAAGCTGTAAGCTCATTTTCACATAATTGCCAGTCACTGGATTTTTTCTTCTTACACGAAGATGATATGCATTCACTACCTAAAACAAGAAACCATAATAAACTAAAAAAATGTCTTCCTTGGTATTGCAAAGAATGTCAAAAACATGTGATTAATAAGGCTGGTGTATGGAAGGAATTTCTCACTGATTACTTTTTTACATATTACAAGTGGTTTACTGTAGTATTTAATTAATCCCCCTAGCAGCACCATTTGTGAACAGCAACTACAATTTAAAGAGAACTCAGGCATTATATACTGTCTAACCTTCACTCCAGGTATGTATCCATCCTAAAGCCTCAATAATAACCTTGATTGCCCTGCCTTTCCCTTATACTTTTACTGATGAGTAGGGAGCAGCAGGAGTAGAGGAGCTATCATGAGGCTTATATGAGGTTGTCACAAACTCAGGCATCACAATGATCCTGTGAGGGAAATACTAAGTTCTTTCTTGCCCTTCCCCCTAACCCACTTCCCGGTCATTTAACTCAAGGCCTTTGCACTGAGTTGTGCTGTAATCCTTTTTATTTTAAGGATTTGAGGGTCTAGCAAAGTTGCTAAATAACCCACCCTGGGCTCAAACCTTCAATTCTCTTGCCTCACTTCCCAGAGTACTGGGATTACAGCCATGAGCTTCATGTTCAGCCACTGTGTGTGTTAAAAATAAGAAAACTGCACCTCAGATAAAGAATATTCCGGGTTTTCAAAATATCTATCAAAGTAGTAAAATTTTCAGCAAGAAATCTTAAAAGACATAATCATCTTTTTTAACTAAACAAAACTGCTTCAGGAAAGGTAGAGCTGTGTTTTAGTTTTAAGGAAATATTTTCATTTGTTCATGTACAAATAATAAAAGTGATTTATTTAAACATATCGAAAAATATTTACATAGCAAGTTTGAATGATTTGCTTCTTCCTTTAAAAAAAATTTTCGCAAGTAATGAAAAGACTGAGAGGGATATCTAAAATGAAAAGGCACTTTTTCCTTCATATATATTTAAGCAGAACTGCAGTGAAACCACTAAAAAGACAGTAAAACTGGATGATTCTAAGCAAAACATACCAAAACTAATGGTTAAAAGCACCAGATATGTGAGAGAATTTCTCAACTTGGAGATATGTATTTGTTAAATGAAAAAAATACATCCTGATATTATTTCTATTAACCACTAGCAGTCACAGCCTCCTACTTCCAGAATCCCAATTAAGAAGCAAAATTAATTAATTAAATTCCTACAAAGAGAGAAAAGAAAGTAAAAATATACTATTTTTTTTTTTGTCTTTTTCTTTTTTATCGGTACCAGGAATGAAACTCGGAACCACACACTTGCAAGGCAGGTGCTTATGCCGCTGAGCTAACTCCCCAGCCCCTAAATATACTATTTTTGAAGACTTAGGACTCTGTGTTATAAAGCCTGCTGAGACAGGCATAGTACTTCTCATAGAATTCCAAGTTGGTTACCTTCTGTTTCTTGGCCAAGCATGCTACTTTATTGTCCAAGATACACAGGCTCCAATATCAATGGCTGTTTATCCTTATAAAAGTGCATTGTTTTGTTTTCAATGCATATGTTAATTATTGGAAAGAAGGGTCTACCAGGCAAAAGTATAAATTCCACTAAATATATGTTGAAATAAAAAAATTACTTTTTATTGATCAAGAAAATGACTTCTCCAAATGACCTTAATACACTATATTTTCCTACCTTCCACTCAAAATCCAGCTGCTTCATAGCTCGGTAAACTTCAGCCATGATGTCATATGGTTTGCTCTGGCTTCGGATTCCAAGATGCCACTTGGCTTTCTTCACAGCTAAAGATTTGGGTTTAGTTGTATTTAGCGCATCCAATGGGCATCTGGCTTTGGGACTGTCTGCTATAAGGGGTGGCATCCTTTCTGGATGAGGTTTCAGGCCTGGGGGAATATGCATGGCACTATCATCCATAAAAGAACCAGTTGGCGGACTGGAGGCGAGGTAGAACTCACTGGCTTGGTTCATTATTCTCCGATTGTCAATGATAAGATGATAAGCCACTGCAAGCTGGTCTTGAGGGTCACCACTATACAAACTGTTCATTACTTCTGATTCTGTACACTCAAATTTTTCACACACTTCTTTCACAGCCTCATCATCAATGACGTTAGCATCGTAAGAGGGGTCTTCAGGAAACAAATAATTGGGCAAATCTTGTTTAAACCATTCATGCTCTCTAGGAAAAAACACCACAATACACTGTTGTAAGAACACGCTTTGGCAAGTCCCATATTAAAGACAGGGGCCAATACAACAAGGGCTCAGAGTTCTGGTCTCCCATCTCAGCTCTGCACTTACCAGCTATGTGTCACTAGGCAAGTTAATTCATCTCTACTCTTAGAATAACTATGCTTATTCAAGTTTGGGTATTAGCCTTCATTTTCTTGAAAATGAGCAATGTGAATCTGTCACTCCAAGAAAAACAACTAGAAAGACCTGTTTACCAATGATAAATTTCAGGAATTCAAGCAAAACTTTGGAATTGTATATAGTAATTGCTATATGCCTCCATGAATTTAACAGCTTGTCAATAGCTAATGACTATATGATAACATCAGACAGTTATTAATAAATCAGATTTTTTTGATAATAACAAATAAGATTTTTTGATATAACAAAAAGTGTCATGCTGGAGATTTTTAGTTCAGTGGCACAGTGTCTGCCTTGCAAGCATGAGGCCGACTTTGATTCCCTATACCAAAAAATAAAATAAAATAAAAGTGTTGCCATTTAGAAAATCTGCAGAGATCAGCAAAACAAGATTTTCCAAAAGCCAATATATGGTGTAACAGAACCACACATGCATGACAGATCAACTCAAAATGAAAAACAGATTACTTGATTATAATGGAATAAAGTATAAAAGTTCACTGATACGTTATCTCATTTGATAATGAAGACTAGTATGTTAAGCTTTGTCTTAATATCAAAAAAAATCACAATTATCTGAGGCTATTAAAATATTTTCTTTTCTAATCAGTTATCTATGTGAGGTTAGATCTTCAAGTATTTGAGATAATCAGTAAGTATTACAAGACTGAATGCACAGATGTGAGAACATAAATGTCTTTGATTAAACCAGATATTAAAAAGACTTACAAAATGGAAAATAATGCCACTCTTTTTACGCTTTTTTTTATTTTGAAAAGTAAGTTTTCCTAAAAGATGTATTATTTAAATTAACATGCAGTAGATTAAGTGAATTAAATATGTTTAAATCCTGTTTTAATTCTAATAGGCTATTGATATAGCCTACATTTAAAAACATCTTTGAGATCCTCCAGTTTTAAATAGTATAAAGACCTACCAAAAACTAAGAGTCAATCCTAAGTGATTCACTCCTAAATCTTATTTTCTGCTACTTTTGGGCCTCTGTACCTGACACTGTTGTTGCCACACTAGAATGTCACACTCCTCTCACCTCTTTTCCTGTAACACACACTATTCTTCATGTTGAAGCATTGTTATGTGATAGCACTGGGCATTCCTCAAGGTCAGATCAGTGATACATTCTGATCAAATGGCTTCTATTTCACTATTTATGAATATTTACTGAGAACATATTATGGACAAAAAGACATGCTCCTCCACACAGAAATTATATACTACAGAGATACGGACTAGACAAACATTTGTAAGAATAAATACAAAGTTACAAACATATTATATGCAAATCCTGTGATATAGCTGATGAGTAGAAAAGCACGATGTAAAGCATAATGGGAGACGGATGATTAGGAAAGCCCCTTTGAGTAACACTTGTACTTAAGTAAACATGAATGATCACAAGTCACCTAAGCAGAGTTGGGGAACAACATTCCCAACAAAAGAAGCAACATGTGTGAAGACCTTATGATAAGAAAAAGTTTTTCCATATTCTAATAACTGAACAAGCCCAAAATCATGAAAGCAAAATAAGTTATGAAAAGGAGTAGCAAAAGAAATCAAGTATTTGAGACTTCTAGCAAGATTTTCCAAAATCAACTTGTTTATAACTCTAGAAATTAACCATACCTTGCAATAGTTTGAAGAGTATTCAAGAAAAACAACTGAACCTCAGCAAGAAAAGAGATGTATGAGTTGCCTTATCTTGATCTTCCTTTCTCCATCTACACAAGAATTAGCCTTGAAAAACCAACAGCTTCATAATCAAGGCATTATTTTATACGACCTGCTTATGGGTAAATTAACTCCATCGACTTATTTACATTTTTCTTTCTGAAGTCTGTTAAGTATAAAACAGAATCAGAACTTTTACTGTAAAATTCCAAATTTATATGCTTATACAAGTAAGTATAACTACATATATATGCCTAATTTTCTTTCTGAGAAAAACTCAATTAGGAAAACTATTCTAAAGAACTGTGAACACAAAAAGGTTATTTCTTTTCCTGCTAAGTTCATTTTTTAATCACTAAATCTAGTGGTTACTGCACTTTCACATTTCTGTGCAACAGGCCTCGAATACTGAAGAAGTGCTAGGGAAGAAAAAAAGGAAATGCTAGGGAAACAAAATGATACATAAATGCAAAAGGAATTACCAGTTCTTGTTTGTAATAGAAATCTGCATCAGTTACATAAACTACTACCTAAGCTATCCTTTAAATATTTCAAGGGTCATAAGTTCTCAAAATAGTCATTCTGGATCAGAAAGAAAAAGGGACAGTTCTGGAAAGATGTAAAAAAAAAAGTGTTTGTAAAGAAACATTGATGAAATATTAGGTAAGAATAAAAACCTCTCCAAAAACATGAACAATGAGGAGAGAAAGCACTGAATTATTCTGCTGTGTATAGTATAAAAGGCTATCTTAATATTCATAGTAGGCCCAGCAATTACATTCCTGACAATTTCTCACTTGACAAGATATCCTTCATAGCAAATCCAGTATTGGCTACTGGAATCAAAAAGTTAGCAAAACTTATGGTTTATTTATGCACAAATCTCTCCCTATTTTTCCATTTGAAATTCCTTCAGATACTGAATCTATACTATCCCCAGGCCTTATAAATGTAGAAGGATGATATGACACACAACCCTGATGTAGTCATGACTTAGGAGAGTGATACAATGGGATGTAACTAGGTACAGTATAATAAGAATGACAGAAGAAACCATAAACAAAATGCTGATATTGCAAGAGCAGCTCTGAAGCATGTCTTAGAATCAGAAGTTATTTCATAAGGGAGGTGGCATATAAGCAGAACTTTAAAAGATGAGTGGAAAACTAGCAGGTCAGAAGAGGCAAAAAGACACACATTAATAAAAACAAGCACACAAAGGCATTAAATCTGTGTTATGTTAATATCTGTTATTCCTATGATGAATAAGGACAAGGTCAATGTGACCAAAGCAGTGGAACAAGGGCTGTGGTGAAGGCAGAAAATGATAATTTGGAGGTAGTAGAGTCTGGTATGCTTTACTACTCAAGCTAAAAAATTTCAGCAGCATTGCCAAGTATCTTAAAGTAACATGATTAGATTTGTGCAAAAAGGCCAGTAAAATGCTAATAAAAATGTCATAAAGCAAGTCTAGCGTACAGCAAGTGTTCAACTAATGTCAATATTATCACTACAAGCAAATACAAAAGGTAATAGCAAGAATAATCACCTGATGTCTTTAATAGTTGCACGTTTTAGAGGATCAACCTGCAGCATATGCATCAGGAGAGTGGCCACAGAGCGATTGAGATATTCTGGGATGTAAAACACACCCCCGCGAATCTTCTTAAACAGTGTAGGAACATGTTCATCATCAAATGGGAGGGTGCCACAAAGAAGAGCATACAAGATGACACCACAGCTCCAGATATCAACTTCCGGGCCTGCATATAACCTGAAAAGGATAACAAACCTGAGAAGCAAGCACCACTTTTTTCTCGTCTTTCTGCACCCTGCTTCTACATATTTATGTTGTACAAGACTCTGCATATTTTGATTTTTAAGATTTTTAAAATAAAGTCCATAGCCACTCTTAATATTCAATAGTTGTTCTCTATAAGAAATAACTAGTCTAATCAGTTACCATGGAACCTTGCCAAAATGAATGGGATATATATTTGTCACTAACTCAGTTAATTGTAATTTACTAAAAACTGAAGCATTTTCTATGGTTGCTTTTTAACGGAAACACCAAAGTAGGTAATTACAAAGTTTAAAAAATAATAGATTAATGTACAGGCTCACTCTTCTCTCAACTATTACAAGAAAGAAAATGCACATAATAGAATTTTTATTCCTGGAATACTTGCTTTAAACAATATTTGAAACATTAAAATACCTAACTACTACTAGGGAGACAGAATTTGTACCTGCTGCTTTTATTCTAATCAGTTGTTAGCTCACAGAACTAAGATTAGCTTTGCTCCAGATAACCTGTATATACAGTTGTCACCCATTTTTTTCTCTCATCCTTCTATAGCATTAATATTCCTGATAGCATATTACCAAACTAAAACCTGGGTCCAATGTGATAAAGTATATTTGCACAACTCCAGTGCAAAGGACAGAAAACACTTCTCTAAAAATTGCTATTACTCATTTATATCATTTGCTATATAACCCAAACTCCTTGCAGTGGACTACATGCTCACATGCCCTGCAAATTCGTATGTTGAAATCTTAACTCTCAAAGTGATGGCATTAGGAGCTGGAGACTGTTGGGGGAAGATTAGATCACAAGGATGAAACTCTCACGATGGAGTTAGAGCCCTTATAAAAGCAACCATGCAGAGAGATTACTTCCCACTGGTATGAGGTGACAGTGACCAGACAGAGGGCTATGAGGGACAGGTCCTACCAGACACAAACCTGCTAGTACCTTGTTTTTGGATTTCCCAGCCTCTAGAATGGGGAGCAATAAATTTCCATTGTTTAACACTCTGTGTTGCTCTGTTACAGTATCTGAAATGGATTAAAACATGCCTATACTGCTACTTTCAATACTTTCAGAGACACTTTTTAAATCAGCCTTTGGCCACTGCAGAAAGACTTGATTCACCACTATATTCTACACAAATGTTGTTATACTGTACCAATCAATAAATTACAGTCTCCACTTGCACAGTTTAATTTAATGAAACAGTATTATGCTCCAAAATACTACATGAAATAATCACACTAGCTTAATAAAGATAATGACACTAGCTTGAAATTTGCAAGTGCTTACTCTCTTACCTGTCCTTTCCTAAAATGAAGGATCTGTTCCCCTTTTTCTTCTTGTAGTCCTTTAGATTCAACCCCTAGCCTCAAGCATGCTAGGAAAGCCCTTTCCCATTGAACTATATTCCAAGCCCTTTTTCTTCTTGTTTTTCTTTTTCTTTCTACTTTCTTGAGTTAAGGTCTAATTAGGCTGCCAGGCTACTCTCAAAATTTCAATCCTCCAGCCTCAGCTCCCAAGTAGCTAGATTACAGGTAGGCACCAGCACAGCTCAGGTGCGCTTCTAATGGAAAAATTTAATAAAAAAGGCATTTAATATTACCCTTTTCTCTCTAACAACTGAAAAACAACTAAATTTTTTTCTGTTAAAAATCTTACTTTCCAAAAACATATTATAATTGTTACAAGATTGCAAAAAGTTTATTCTAATTTATTACCTGCCTGAGATGACTTCAGGTGCTGCGTAATTTGGAGATCCACAACTAGTTCGTAGAAATTCACCATCTGACATCATATTAGATAATCCTACAAATAAAAACAATGTTTCCTTACTGCTAGATATTTTACACATAGATAAAAACATTCAAGTGTTCAGAGCTCCACAAAATGTACTTTTTAAACCAGCGAAAAACAGTTGTTAGATTTGAAAGACAGCATTTCAGTGCTTATAAAAATACTAAAGAACATCCTATGTATGACTGGAGTTAAATTATCTTTCTAAATAAACAAACTGCTTACTTTACAAATGAGGTTATTTTAAATTATTTTAATTTTTCCAAAACTAAAATCATCAACTTGGGGATAACAATGCATGATGTATGTGCCATTGTTACCCCCTCATTGATATGATTTGAAATTTTGTTAGTTTTTTTCTTTGTTTATCTTTGAATAAAATCAATTTGAGAATAAATAAATAAATTCAACACCGTGGCAGGAAAAAACCTGAAATCAATAAAATACTGCCTCCTTCTATAACTGAAAGAATAAAATAGTAGTACCATGCTTTTTAAAAGGCTTCTAGCCTGATATGGTGGTGCACACATTTAATCCCGGCACTCAGGAAGAGGCAGGCAGGAGGACCACCATGAATTCAAGGCCAACCTGGGCTACATAGTGAGTTTAAAGCCACCCTGAACACAAGACCGTTTTTGGGAAGGAAAAAAAGAAAGCCCACAATAAATAAATAGCCTTTCTGAAAAATCAGTAATTCAAAAGCTCCAATTCTTACGCAGGTTACTTTTCTGAGGTTTTTAGAGAAAAAAGAGAAATAGTGAAACTAGTTTTCCTAGTTTAAAGACAAACTACAGAAAACCACGTGAATCAGCAAGGTTAAACAGTGGTACTAACACATCTCTTTTTCCCTTAAGATCTCACATTCTTTTTCTCAAATACATGAGTATGTTTACAACAGAAAGTCTTTGGAGCATAAAAACCAGATTTTACCTTGTCTTTACCTGTGATGAAACAGCCATTCTCTCATTAAGTTGTTAGATATTACACTAAGATTCATGGACCTCTCCACCAATCACAGAAGGACTAAAACCTTTTTTCAAAGATGCATGCAAATTTTCATGTAGCTGTTTATGTGCATTCGTTAGGGAAAATGATGTACCTTCACATTTTCAAAGGAGTTTGGGACTCCTCCCCAACCCCCTAACCCCTGTACTGACCTTTAGCAAAAAGAAAAGAAAAGAAAAGAAAAGTATCATTAAGTATCATTTCCTCAGGAAGAAATGCAGGTTGAATAGCTTCATCTTTTTTTCAGTTTTTCTTTAATTAGTACATGTTTCAGATCATAATGATCACATTCCTTGTGGGAGTTGGTACATGTGCATAACACATCTTAATCTTCTTTTTCATCCCCAAACCCTCAACCTGCTCCATTTCTTCATTTCTTCCCTTTTTCAAAAAATCTATATGCCTGTTTCTTATTATCTAGCTTTTATTTTGTTCTTTATTTACACTTTGAGTTTCCTATCTAAGAGAAACAATGTGATACTTAAGTTTGTATTTTTATTTCACTTAACCTAATGGTCTCAAAGTACATTTGTTTTCCTACAAATGACTTAAGTCTATCATGATGGCAGAGTAGCACTCCATTGTGTATAAACAGCACATTTTCTTTATCCATTCATCTGTTGATGATATACAGGCTGCTTCCAAAATTTAACTATTATGACTAATGCTGCAATAAACATGAGTGTACATGGGTCTCTGTGATAAGATATTTTTCCAGAAGATATCTAAAAAGGGGACAGCTTGGTCCAATAGAATTCCTATTTTTAATTTTTTGATGAATTTTCATACTGATTTCCATAATGGCTATGAGTTTACATTCCTACCAAAAATCTAGAAGAATTCCTTTTTCCTCTCAGCTTCTCAGGCATTTGTTATTATTTGATTGAGTAATGACAGTCACTCTTTCTGGAGTAAAATGAAATTTCAATGATGTTTTAATTTGCATTTTAATGCCAGAGATGGTGAACATTTTTGCATGTATTTATTGGCCATCTCTATTTCTTCTAAGAAGTGTCTATTCATTTCAGTTGCCCATTTTTTGACTGGGCAAGTCTAATTTTGGGGAGTGTCTAATTTTTTTGGAGTTCTTTACATATTTTAGATATTAGTTCTAGCCCTCCAACTAGTTTTCTAGAAGTATATGCACCGTAAAAGTGTATTTAAAGGAAGAGACCAAGCTGGTATGGAGACTGCAACTAATTCCCTTCCAAGGTACAAGATTTACAAGGTTGACAGTGAAAGTTTTTAATTCTGTAAGAACTGTTACTGGCACAATTTAAAAGGTAGCTATATATTTCTGAACAATCTTAAGAGTTACATACCAAAATCAGCTATCTTGGCATTCATCTGTGCATCCAAAAGGACATTCTCTGGTTTTAGGTCACGATGAACAACCATGTGCCTATGACAATAATCCACAGCAGACAGAATTTGCTGGAAGAGCCGCCTGGCTTCCATCTCTTCAACCTATCAAGTATGAAAGAAACTGTATTAAAAGAATATCTAGAGTTTTAGTTTTATAATTAATCTAAATAGAACTAAGAAAGCTAATTAGAATTGTCTAATTAGAATTCTCAACAAATCAGAGAAAACTGATCAACCAAAGCCTTGTCAAAGTTTACTGTGTCATTTGGTTCTGCTTTGTCATAAGAAAACAATGTTCAGTTTTCAATTAATATTATTAAATGTACACAATATTTTATCAGTAAGACAAATTAACTCAGAAGTTACACAAAAGTTCTAAGAAAATAATTGAAAGTGTCAGCATAATTTTACAGACTTAAAAACCTAAGAATCATTTAGAAATTAATTGGAATATGTTTCCTAAAACCAGAATTTTGATTTTGGTTGATGACTACACTTTTTAACGAAGAAAATCTGTCTGATCTGTATGTTTTGATGGACATTATTATAGAAGCAACTCGAGTTTGAAGCTAGTGCTGTAGTTGGCTATCTCCCAGTATCTGCCTTTTTAAGCTTATGTATTTACGTGCTAAATAATATTATCTCTTACCCGTCCATGTTTACAGATGTAGTCAAATAATTCACCTCCAGACACATACTCCATTACCATAAAAAAGTCTGTTGGAGTGCTGATTACCTGGTATCTTTGTGTTAAAAAAAAAAAAAAGGTTAATGTTACTTCCACCAAAATCAAACTACCTTATCCATTCTTGCTACAATAGCATATGCTAGTGTTTTATAATATTTTAAGATTGCAGCACATTTTCGTTACTGAAATGATACCGAAGTGTTCTACCTCATGAGGTTCACACACAATCCTGCATTGTCCTTTCAGATTCATGTAATCTTTGAAATCCTTCATTTTAAACAACAGAATTGAGCATTAATTTTGTTTTAATAAACATTTGTTCACAGTCAACATATCAGGTATAATCTATTTAAACATAAATAAGAAATACTCTTGGACAGATAAAAGATACCAGAGAAAGGTATAAAATCATCAATATGTAGCAAGGGGACAAATGACCCTTTCTTCAACAAATACAATCCAATAAAAAGACAGACAGGAGAAGCTATATGTCAAAAGTAATCCACACTGGATGTGGTGGCACATGCCTATAATCCCAGTACTCAGGAGACTGAGGATAGAGGAATACCACAAGTTTGAACTCAGGCCCGTGCACATAGTGAGTTCAAGACCAGCTTGAACTACACAGCAAAATCCTGTCTCAGCTTCCTGCCCCAAATAATTCAAGACATACTGACCAACTTATAGACTTGTTTGATTCTGGGTCAAACCAACTTTAAAAGTAATTTTATAGGAAAAAAATAAAAATAAGTAAATGTTTAAAACATTTAAAGAAAAATTTAAAAATAACGAAAAAAATTATCAAATAAAATATGAAAACTATCTCGATGGTTGATGAGATGGTTAATTACTATAAGTTTTTAGATATGATACTGATAATGTGCTTGTGTTATTTAAACATCAAGGTAACACATTCACAATGGGGCCATAATTTGCATGTCCCATTGCCAGACAGCTCTGATCTGAATTTGACAGTTCTTGCTGGCTTGAACCACCGATGGTATATGAGTGACTGTACTGTCACATAGCCTGTACTGCTTCTCAGGACGTCTTTGATTATAATAATGGGAAGAAAGCACTGATTTAGCAGACTAAATGTCACTGAATTATAGCTCCTTACAGAAAACATTAAGATGGTAAAATGCGTATCATATACACTTACAAATACACTTGATATTTGTAAAATTTCCATGTTAAAATTTACAGAATTACTCATAAACTATTCACAAATATAAATACATTTAATTTAATGAAACAAATTTTTTTTGATTTTGGTAATAAATTTAATTGGCATGAATGGCATAATGTAAATATAATGGTAATATAATGGTATAATGGTATAAATACAATCCAATCTCTTCAACCTATCAAGTATGAAAGAAACTGTATTAAAAGAATATCTAGTATATCTGGTATAATGTAAATATAAATATAATTTATATTTAGGCAGTAATTATCAAATTCAAGCAACTCAACAGATTGAGTTCATTTACAGATTTTTTAAAAATTAATTTTATTAGTAAAAAGACTGATAAAAGTGATTAGGTCTGTTTGTATCCCAGTGGCACAAGCTGTTGACGGGATAGTCAGGAATGTACATACCACTGGTGGTTCAAGCTGGCAGGAAAGTGTCAAACAGTCCAGAGATTAAAAACAAAATCTCTGGACTTCCTTCAAATTGATCTAGTGGGGAGAAAATGAGGCAAAGTAGATAAAAGAACACGCTAAGGCTGAAGCTAGATGACAAATACATGGGCTCATCACTCTAGTGCTAAGTTTAGATAATAATGAAATAATGCATGTGAAAGTGAGTGCATTTGTAGGTACTAAAAATTGAGCTCATTAAAATATATATGGAACTGCCTATATTCTCAGTACTTTGGGAAGCTGAGGCAGAAAGATAAAAATTCAAACTCAGGCTGGTCAACTTAGCAGACTCTTTCTTAAAATAAAAAGCTCTGTGGATGCAGCTCAATGAGAAAGCAGTTCAACTCCCAGTGCCATAAGATAAATGAATGAATAAATAACAATGATAATAAAGAACCTTAGCTTTATCTGACAAAACAAAAACTAATTTCTTCCCATATACATGACTTGGTACCAAGTTTTGAAAACAATGAAAATTAATAACATAATATCGCTTTAACTTGTGCAAATGAACAACCCTTCTTGTTCTTAAAATACATAGTTTACAAAAGATCATCTATAGCTTAGTTGATTATAATCAATAGCCAATGTATGCAAAGTTATTCTGGCCACTAAATGTAGCTTTGTAGTCTCTGCATGGAATAAAGGCATTCAGGAAAAGGTACAAGTTAGTAGATGCCTCTCTTCCAGGAAGTACTAACACTATGCTCTAAGCTTGCCCTCTGAAATAATTATACTGACATTATAAAACATTCAATGAAGAATCAATCATTCATAAAATTACATATAAGCATTTTTAATACAGTAAAAACATAAACTAACTTTTTTTTGAGTCTTTAGAAACTTTCTTGGAGATTTCTGGGGTTAGTGGAGCAGTGAGCAGCAGAGAAAACAGACTGAGAGTCACGTCCAGACGTTGGAATATACCATGATGAGGAAGGCAAGAAGGAAGGAGTGGGTCCCCGGGACCCAGGAAGAATCTGAAGTGGGATCTGAAGCCCACAGAGAGAGGAAATAGAAAAACCTTAATGAAAAAGAAGGCAGAAACTAGCGGTGCCTTCGCCCAGAGCCAGACTCACTGCACAAGGAGCTGTTGGAACCTGGGAACACACAGTGACAGTGATGGCGGCGCCTAGGGAACCCAGACACCTCTGCAGAGAGATGTGGCAATGGAGGGGAGCGGTGGGCCCGGAGGACTGCACTGGCTGCGAGTGCAGAGGACTCAGTCCTCCCATGGGAGTGAGTGACTGGCTGGGAGCTATTTTGGAATTGGGCCGGATAAGCCCACAACCAGAACCGCTGCTGGCTTTCTCCAGCAGCTCCTAGCTATGTGCAGACTGGTGGGAACTACTTGGACTGTAATGAGCCCAGTGAGTCTGTTCTCAGGGCAGGTCTGCTAAGGTTATCTACTACTTACTCTGCCATAAAGCAACTGCTGGCTTGCTGGATTAGAGTGGCACGATTCAGGACTCTGTCTCCATAGGCTGTCTACTAGTGAACCCAGGGAGAACCCTAGAAGCAGACTCTTCAGGGGTTTTTGTTTGTTTTTTTCTCTTTTCTTGTTTATTTGTTTTTATTAAGTTGATTTACTTCTCTCTTTTTTTAATGAGTGTGAGACTGGTTTCTATCCTCTTTGTGGGTGTGGTACTGTTTTATTTTACCTTTTATCTCTTCCATTTCTCTTTTCTTAGAAACTTTCTTAATTGAGCAAAAACAAAATTAATTATCAAGACAAACACATTTTAGGAAACAGGTATGTGCCTGTAGGCAACATTTACTTGCACATTTAGGTGGCATCTATAAAAAATAACATATAAAACTTGGGAAAAACCCAACATGCGTAAGTACATCTTTTTTGGTTGTCATATCAATTGATATTTGAAATATTATTTATATAACCATGTACACAGAAGATTTCTCTTTAAGTAAAACTCAGTGATGATCGCCTTTGGCTTCTGACACTGTTCTTTACTGATCCGTGAATGATCTTTTCTTTGGTCAGCTACAATTTTAATAACATATCAATCAGTATCTACTAACCAATATCTACTAACCTATTATCCAAACAAAAGACAGGACCCTGACACTGGCCATCGAAGCACACAAGGACTCATCCCTCCCACCAGGCTGACTTCTTATCCATGCTTGCTCATGCTGATCTGGAAGCCCTCTCATTTCTCCCTCGCATTCTCTTTTGTACAACTCTATGACATACCTGCATGTAAGTGTATATATCCTCTCTTTACACATGTTATTTAATGTGCATAGATAATTCACATTCATGTACGTATTTTTATTTTAATTATTCATAGTTTTAGTAAAAGGTATCAGCCTGATGATCTTCTTCACCAGGGAAACAAATGTCCCTACCCCCAGATGATGCTGCTGCCCACCAGGGCCCTGTGCTAGAGCCAGGAGGACCCAGAAACCAGCTGTCCCACCTTCACTCCCTAGGTTCTCCACAGCACAAGGAAACAGAGTTGACAACCAACAGACTGACCCAATCGAACAAAGGACAACAACCAGAGGAGCATCTTGCTTCAGGACTGAAGTCTTACTCTTCCACAGAGACTCAGAGATAGGCATGACCGGGGGACGTGTGAGCTAAGCAGGAATCTCTGGGGCCCAGGCTGAGACCAGGAAGGTCTCGGGTCCTGTGCTCTGCTGTGGAAAGACAGGTATGGTGGGAGCAGTCGTCAGAGGCAGTCACCCTGAAGACGGAATGTAGTATAGTGGTTACATTTGAGCTCTGGCACTGCTGCCAACACACAGCAGAAATCAGTGGTCTAAACTGCTATAAGTCTGTATAACGAGGAGCCTAACCATCGTCACTAAAATCACAGTCTTTGTCTTGGTGAAGGGCCGTTTGTGAGTGGGTCTTGGGCTTTATCAAAATCCAACTGACATCTGATGCCACTGTTATCATTCCATTTACTACCACAGACAAGGAGGCAGTAGTAGCCACCAACTGGTTTTCTGTCTATGCCAATACCTGGACTGGTTGGGGGGTCAAAAATGCTGAGCCTGCCGAGCAAAGTGGCTCACGCCTGTAATCCCAGCACTCGGGAGGCTGAGGTGGGAGGATCATTGGTAGTTCAAGACCAGCCTGGGCTACCAAGTGAGCTGAAGGCCAGCCTGAACTGCAATAGCGAGACCCTGTCTCAAAAAAAGACAAAAAAAAAAAATGCTGAGCTCATACCTGCAAAAAGGAGGACTGGCCCAAAGACTCTATAAACCTCATCACAAAAAACAAATGAACAAAACTGCTTCCAAACTACTGACTCACCCAAAATACAGTGACGGAGGTGGGGAGGGAGGAAGCACTGAGGAAGAGGAAATCATAAACCACACACCAGATAGGTCCAAAAGGGACCAAGGGAGGTAAAACAGTTCTATGAGATGCTTAGC